ATCAATTTATTGCCGGTTGAGGAAGTGCTCGATTTTAAATATCTTGGATCCACTCTAATTCCAAATGGCCAGGCAAAGGACGAAATTGTAACTCGGATAACGACAGCTAGAAATATGTTTTACCTGTTGAGGGAAACTTTAACTGTCGCGAAATCAACTTAAAGACGAAAATCCCGCGTCCATCGATCGATCTTATTATACGGCTGCGAAACATGGCTAATAAGAGTGGAAGATATAAAGAATCTCTCAACCTTTGACCAGTCATGTCTAAAAAATATTTTACTAATCCAACGAGTGGGTAAAATCGTACATGATTGTAACATCTTCGCTCAAAGGCCACCTGTATTAATAATGTTATCACAGAACGTTGTCTTCGCTAGGACACGTTCTCTGTGGTCCACTATAGGAGGCATATTTCACTACTTGCCGAACCCTGTGATGGTTGGCGTCAAAGGTGAGGAGGGCCAATCAAGACTTCGACTTATATAGTCAGGAAAGATTATGGACGTATAGGGGGACCAGCGATATATGGACTTAGACGATGGAAAAAGAAATGGCTTAGGGAAAGAAATGGCCTGTTACTACTAGCGATGGCGTCGGACCGAGCAGTTTGGAGACGTCTCGTCCTTGTAGCTAGCGGAGCCAGCTTAACGGTAATGGTGAGAGCTGATGGAAGAAGAACGCTATTTCCTTACTTCTTTAAATATTTCCTTAAACGATTGTATAGTCAAACAATTTAGTTCTAGATTGTAAATAGTTCTATCAGAAGTAGACCAAAACTAATATTCTTCTTCTAACTGTACTCATAATTAATGGCTAACTTCTCCGACCACCAGGGTAAGCTGTTTGGTCCGGTGCTATCGCTATTCATTTTTCCATTGCATATATCGCTGGTCCATTGATATGTTAAAAATCTTTCCTGTATCATTCTATATCAGTCCAGACTTTGATTGGCGCCTCTCGATTTCGATGCCATCCGTCACAGGGTTTAGGAATTAACGCGACTAGAGTGGATCCAAGATATTTAAAGTCTGGCACTTCCTCAACCGGTGATAAATTGATAAAAATAGGTATTTTATCAAATACAAATGGACTTTCGTTTCATTACATTGATTCTGAGTCCGATTCTCGCTGCAGTTGTTGACACATTGTCTAGCATTATTTGCATTTCAGCACTATCAGCGAAAAGAACTACATATCATCAGCATATTCAAGGCCTGTAATAATACACTCTTGACTGCTGACAAACGATGTCCATTATCCAGTCTATCGCATAAAATAAAAAACACCCATCAGTTCTTATTTCGAAAAGAAAGAAATTCTAAAAGAAAAATGAAGAAATGAAAAATTCTTTTGCGAAAAAAAAGTGCGAGGAACCTCGTTTTTATTCAAATTTTACGAAAAATTTTATGAAATACGGAAAAACATGCAAAAAAACAATATTTCGTGTTTCCATCGCCAAATAATTATTCCATCATTTAATTTTAAATGCAATCGCGAGGAATTATAAAAAATTTCACAATTTTTATGCTGTCGCATTTCGTTTTCCGTTTATTCCTCGGGGATTGGATGTGGAAAAATATTGATTTTATGCTATAACGTTCTTTTTTGATCTGACAGTGATTGTTCGCTTACGGTAGTATTTTCGAATTCTCCCCTTCTAGGCGAATTTTCCGGCCTTTTTTACAATTTCACCATAATATTTTTCATAAATCTATCTATTAAACAAAAGTATTCAGTCGACTCCCTTAGAATTTTTGCTTCGCCAACATATTATATCAAGTGAGTTATTAAAAAAAGTGAAGAGATGTAATAAAGGTGGCGATGCAGTGATTTTTAAAAACCCTATTTCTCTTCTCTTCTTTCGTGGTTTTATTTCGAAAAAAGGATGCTTTTATATTACCCGTCGATGTCCTCGTAGAGAATTTTTTTATACAATTAGCAAAATTAATTAAATCAGTTGAAGAAATTCTTATGTGATTATTTTTATTATTGTTATTTGAAATTTTAAAGAAGTACAGATTTATTGATAGAATACAAATGGGCCCTTCGAGTTCCATCGATCTTATGGGTGGGGCATCCCTGAATTGGAACTAATTTTTGCCCATTTGATTTCAATTCTGCTTTTTAAATAAAATGAAAGTGAGCAATGAAAATAAATATACACACATTTATGGGGAAGCCAGTCCTTCTGGCTGTTAGCATTGAAAAAATATTTTCCAGAGGATCATTTGGTGCTAGAAGTGCAGTTGGATCGTCAGGAAAATCAGGTTTATCCTTACTAAATATTCATGGGTTTTCATGTTAAATATATTAGTATATGTCAGGAGAAAATTTAGGTGCAAATTCAGATTGCGGAATCTTGGCGCGGTGTTGTGAGACCCTTTGTTATCGATTTTAAATTGCTATGTTTTGTAAAAACCTCATTAAACTGCCTGAGACTCTTTTTTTTCTTAAAATTTCCAAGCTGTTTGCCACCATAATACAACACCTTAAATTTCCTTATATCCTTTATTCTCTAAATTTCTATTCTCTCAGTTGCCTAATACCATTCGAAAGCCGTATTCTTCCTTAACAAGAGATATTCGAAAATGTGAGGTTTTTCTCGTGTCGTCGAAGACGATTGTTTTTAATAATAGTAATGAATCGATGTCGCCTTAAGTTCTTGGCCACTTTTGCCAGATTAATGGTGCTATGATGGTTTTGGATTATTGTTTGGCCAGTCCGCAGATTTCGCCCCCAATCTCTTTATAAAAAATAAAATGACTTTTGAAATAAATCATTTTTTCACTTTTCTATTTTCCTTAGGGTTTTTAATTTAAAGACTCTATAAAGATTGGTGTTACTATATTTTTGCTTGTATTTTTGTGTTTTTTGTGTTTCTATCTTAAATCTGTGGCAACATGGTTTACCTTCACCAATTCAATAATTATTCAGTTCAATTATCAACTCCGCTCTCCAAGAATTTTCTGCATTATTATTAATAGTGTTATATTACATTTTTATATTATAGTGTTATATACACTTTATATTATATTATAGCATTAAATTTGTAATAAATCTCTATTACGATTAGATCTCCGATATATCCTTGAAGAAGATGATGTGTTTGGATTTCTACTAAATGGATAAATATGTCTCAGTCTCAGTTTCAATTTTGCAATTGTCGAAAGATTTTTTTAAAAGTTCTTCTCTGAAAGATAGAGCAAGATATTGCAATAGATTTCATTAGTATTTCTCTTGCAGATTGACTCCAAAAAATTTCTTATCTTCGACGAAACCCACTGAGCCTGAACAGAAACGACAAGCCACTTGAAATCCACTTAAAAAATTCTGTTCTGCTTGAAGGGCGTTTGTCTATCGAAAGCCAAAGTAGTCAGATTCCACAACATCGGAGATCACAGTGATAGTTGGAGCACTATGGTCTTCGAACTGGGAAAGTGGTTTAATCGGTTTAATCAGATTCCACAACATTGGAGATCACATAGTTGTCCCAGTGATAGTTGGAGCACTATGATCTTCGTACTGGGAAAGTGGTTTAATCAGATTCCACAACATCGGAGATCACATAGTTTTATAGGAACAACTAAGGCACTGCGCAGAACCTTCAGTCTCACAGGCCTCTGGTAGAGGACTGGAGATTAAGGATAACCCTTGCCACCCATAGGGGATAAGAAAGGGTTTTTTTGCTTTTTCATAATTTTGTTTATCGTTTTTATAATAAATTTTATTTAAAAAATTTAAGCAATCTTATTTAAGAAATTTAATTTATATTTATATTTATTTTCAAAAAAATGAGTTTAGAAAATATTTGCAAATTCGAAGGAAAATTTAGTTATTATAATTGAAATTTAGAAATGAACATCTAAAATATGAAACAAAAAGTGGTTGCTTGTTTTTTTCGAAAGAAAACAATATTTTGAAATCAAATAGTATTTTATTTTATGCATATAGTTTTCGCCCTAAATTTGATTGGATTTTATCCTCTATTTTTCCTGAATTATATTTTCCAATTGTCTAATTGGCTTTATTTTTTGTATTATTGCTTAATTTTTCATGGATACTATCATTATTTATATCAGAAATATCATTATTTCTAATATTTACTTTAGGTCCAATCGGAGTAATTTTGCGATTTCCATTAGTTCTGTTAGTTTAGATCCGATTTTTTATTTTAGGTGATAATTTAAATTGATTCCTGCTGTTGGTACGAAGATTTTTTAGATAAAACCATTGCTGGGAAGGTTCGCTATTTTATAGTATTAATTGTTTTTTTAAATCGTTGGTTGCTTTGTTAGCTAAATTATAATTTACTATTATTTTTTTCTGGAAAAACCAATTTTTATGCTATTTTAATCATGATAAAAATTTCCAGAGAATGGGAAAGGGCAAAAAAGAAAAGCAAACGCATAGACATGAGCAAGAAGAAGCAAAACATCCACGTGAACGAGATATTGAGCTTATGCGAACTGACGTGATTTTCTACTATCTCATTTTAATAAAATTAACAATTGTTTATATTGTTACTATTTTTCATATAATCTCTTTTATAATCTCTTTTTTTAGAAAGGAAGCTCGAAGGAAAAGAGAAAATCCAAGGATTCCACTCTACAAGAAGAGCAAGCTGTGAGGTTTTATGCATTTTCGATGAAATCTCAGATGTGATACTTGTTTTTTGATATTTCTTTTGTTCTTTTCAGGAAGGAAGTTCGAAAGAAAAAAGAAAGTCCAAGGATTATGGTACACAAAATTCGGAAAAAATGCAGTTTGGACAACAGACTGAGGTTTTATGCAATTTCGATAAAACGTCTTGGAAATATGAAGTGAAGATTTTGAAACTCACTGTTTTTTCAGGAAGTAAGCGAGAAAGAAAAAAAAAGAAAATCTAAAGAGCGAATTAAAATGGATATTGGTGTAAGTTTTTATCTTTTTTGTTTTCTTTTTTGTTTCATTTTTTTTTAAATGATCATTGAACAGTCTTATATGTTAAATTCTTTTTAGGAATCGCAAGTTCCGGAACGGTTCGTTATAAAACCTTCAGAAGATAAAGCCGTTTTAAATACTCAACATTGGCCATTACTTTTAAAAGTAAATTTTCCTACCATTGTTTCCAACAATATTGTTCTCGGATAAATTTTTGATCATGAAAGCAACTTATGAATTTTGTACTATGAAAATTTTTTAGAATTTTGATAAGTTGCATACTCGTACAAATCACTATACTCCTCTGCAAGAAGGTTGTTCGCCACTTCGGCGAGCACTTAAGGATTACATATCGTCTGGAGCGATCAATTTAGATAAGCCTTCCAATCCTTCCAGTCACGAAGTAGTGGCATGGATAAAGCGAATTCTTCGTGTTGAAAAAACTGGCCACAGTGGTACGCTTGATCCAAAAGTAAGCGTTTTTTTAAATCAATCAAGTTGCTTGCTTCTGAGAATTTAATGAAAATAATGTATTTTCTTCAGTAGAAATAAATTACAGACTTCTGGTGTTTTAATTGTATGCATCGACCGAACGACCAGAATAGCAAAAACTCAGCAGGAAGCTGGTAAAGAATATATTGGCGTTTTCCGTTTACATGAAGTAGTAGATTCAGAGTCAAAGGTTCGAAACACACTTCAAAAACTCACAGGAGCTTTATATCAAAGACCACCTATTATTTCGGCTGTGAAGCGTCAGTTAAGAATTAGAAGAGTTTATGAAAGTAAGCTCTTGGATTATTCAGCGCATCAAGGGCTAGGAGTTGTCAAGGTAGGTTTTATTTCATTTCAATGTATTGTTATTCACATATCAAGCCCATTTTGTACGATTCTCTTGTTTAACATTTTCGCATTTTTCACGTTTTTCTTTTGGTTCACTTTTGATTGTTTTTTCAATATTTTTACAATATTTTTTACTACAATATTTTTTGACCTTATTCTCCAAGTCATATTTATACTTTCATCACTAATTGTTCAGATAAAATGCCAAGCTGGCACGTATATACGAACTTATTTTGTTCATCTTGGATTGATCCTTGGTTCTGGTGCTCATATGCAGGAACTAAGAAGAATTCGTTCAGGTAAACTTTAATGTTCATGCTTGAAAATTTTATTCATCTAATTGCTTGAAACATTGAAAATTTCAGGAGTATTAGGAGAAAAGGACAATCTGGTTACTATGCACGATGTTCTTGATGCACAATATTTGAAAGATCGTTGTGGTGACGAAAATTATCTCAGGCATGTTATAAGACCTTTGGAAGCACTTTTAGTTATACATAAAAGAATTATCGTCAAAGATAGCGCGGTTGGTATTCCACATTATTTTCTCGGTGTTCAATTTTTTAATGACCAAATCATAGTGATAATTGATTTTAAGGTAAACGCCATTTGTTATGGTGCGAAGATTTTAGTACCTGGAATATTGCGTTTTGAAGATGGAATTGACGATATAAAGCAGATTGTTGTGGTAGTAACAACAAAAGGCGAAGCCATTTGTATCGGTCTGTTTTAACTCCGTTTGATTTTTATGTTTTTTAGATACACAGTTTAGCAAGTAATATTAAATTTTCAATATTCAATTAATCTCTAATCTCTAATATTCAATTTTTAGTTAACGTATTTATAACATATTTATAGGTGATAATTTATAGGTGATTAATGGCTTGCTTGTTTATACTTATATCACTTATGTCTCATTCCACATTTTTATTTGCAATTTTCTATTTAAGCGGAAGCCATGATGACGAGTGCAATGATATTAACTGTTGATCATGGATCTGTAGCAAAAATCAAAAGAGTTATCATGGAACGAGATACTTATAGTCGTAAATGGAAATTGGGACCAGTTACTTCAAAGAAGCAAGCAATGGTAATTTCCAAAGTTCAGCTTTTGTGATTTTTCAGATCAAAAAAAAAAGTTTAAATCCTCATTTATAAAATAATCAGATTGCAAGTGGATTGTTGGATAAATTCGGTAAGCCAAATGAAAGAACACCAAGTAATTGGCGATCCGCTTACTATGACATTTCTGTTGACACGGTTAATTTTTGATTATTTATTAGATTAAAAGATTATTAGATTATTAGATTATTTATTAGATTAAATTTTGATTATTATTTTTATCGCTTGCATATTTCTTTTTGTTCATTCATACTCATCATATTAAAAGAATTTCAGATTGCACCTCAAGCCGCATCTCAGGTTGTTGAATCTCAATCTCATATCACTCAGGACATTGCTGTTAGACAAACTACTCGTAAGCGGAGAAGGCTAGATTCAGATGAAGAGAAGATGGAGTAAAAAATGAACAAACAGATTTTTTAAATCCAACTCTTGTTTCATAAAATTTTTATGATCTTTTTATCGGTTAACTTTAAAATTTACATGTTTTATTACGTTAAAAGTTTATAATAAACCTTCCTTTGTTTACATTGTTGCAGTTGCTAACAATTTCCACTTTTCATAGTAAAACTCAATGCATACCATATTATAAATTTTTGATTTTCTTGAAAATCCTTATATTTCATAAAAAATTTCACATTAGTTTTATTCTATAATTAAATGTTCTTATAACCATATCGCTCGATTTAAAAAAAAATGATATAATGTTAAAATATCAAAACACCTGTTTTTGATAAAATTTGAGATCGCTTAAATACGAAAAAACTTCCTAATTGCCAAAAAGTGGATTAAATATTTTATAATTTCCAGTCGGAGATATGACTATATCAAATATATCCGGTTAACTTGGAAAGTCGTAATTTAAAATTTCTTTGATTCACATACGTACAAAAGAATCAACAATTATAAGTGTCAACCAATTTTCTATCAGCTAATTCATCTTCTAAAAGGCGAATTCGTCGTTCATGATGACGCAATACGGTTTTCATTTTTTGGAAATCAGATAAAAATTCTTCATATGTTCTCGGCTAGAAGTTAAAAATTGCAGATTTATAATTTATAACTTAAGAAAAGAAAAGAACTTGTCAAATTTATGAGGAAATATTTTAAAAATATAGAGAAAATATTCAGGAGCAAACCTCATTCGCAGCGATGGAAACTCTAAGCTGAGTTGGGGACGAATATCGGAATGAAGAGATACTTGCTGGTTGATTTTTAACATATTCACGAACAGCAAACTGAAGTTCCTGATCTGATTTATGACGATCCACCTAAAATAAATATTTGGATTATTTGAAAACAACTATGAAGATTCATTGTAAATAAAATATTAAAAATAATGATTAAAAATAATGCTTTAAAATTATTACCATCCGGTTTAATTTAGATTTAGGCTAGCAATTATTTTTAATTTTATTCAAATAATTTCAAATAAAACTAATTTTAAAAGATTTTTGAATTGAACGGAGGGAAGTGATTAAAAGTGGTGATCTTCGAAAATATGCTGTCGTATTTGTTTTGGAATTTCCATGTGGCGTTTGAGCACTAACTTGTCTTGCCTTTTCATCATCTCCAACATAATGAAACAATACAAGTCCGCAGTCATCATCCCATAATGTTATTTCATATCTTCTAAAAAAAAGTTCTAATAGTCCTAAAATCAAATTATAAAAATAAGGTTATAAAAGAATTATAAATTGAAAAAAATTATTTCCATCGATTTGGAAAATAGATTGATAGGAAAACTATCATATTAAATTTACTGTGATAGAATGATATAATTCAATAAAATTCATCAGTAACTATTCGCTTAAACGCGATAAAAACAAGGTTATAAAAGGTGAAGAAACAGTGGATGAATGGGCCAAACAATTTAAATATAAAGAAAGCCTAAGCCTCAAGTCAATTTCAATATAATGAGGCTGACAAAATTTGAACTAATATTTGACGCGTTAACAATTAAATAGTTGTCAAAAAATTATAACGGTGTTTCAGAGAAATAAAGGGATATAAAAAATATAAAATAAAAATACAAAAATACAATTAATGATACAATAGTGGAAATAATTATTTATAAATATAAAGATTTATAAAGATATTTAATTAAATTTTCATAAAGTAACCAATTAAATTCATCTTAAATATGCCAAACCATATTATTAGTTATCAAAATATTTTTATTTTAATATTTTTAAAATACTTTATTAAAATCATTAAAATACTTTTAAAAAAATAATAATTATTAAAATATTTCTGTTTTTAATCCAAATTTTTTAAAATGTAAAGAAAAAAAGCATCGCAAAAAAACTACAAACTCTTTTGCAATAATCCGATAATCCGATAATAATATCATTTTAAATCATTAAAACTGTTCGAAAGAAAACAAAAAGCTAACAAAACTTACGCGAAATCTTTGCATCCAATTTCACTTTCACCAAACAAAAACCGACATGCTCGTTTTATTTTATTTCCAGCTGATCCATATGCTTTCGTTCCATGCGTTTTACCATAACGATAACCATCGCATCGAAAACTTGCCCGAATATCTTTTAGACTTTTATTAGAATTTGCAAATGCGCGACAGTCGTAGATGAGAATTGAACCTGCATTCGGCTGAATTACTGGTGTGTTTTGCTCACAGACTAGCGACTGATTCTCATATGCCGCATCTACAAATTTCACCTTTTACGTAATATAATCCAAGGAAACGGAAAGATTTTTAATACAAACTTTCCATTTCATGATGTGGTACGAATGAGATAACATATTTACAATTTTTCTGCTTAACTGGGATAATTAGTAATAAATCCAGTGGGATGGGAAGGAGTGGAAATGAGGATATATCTCTGCAATATTATTAATTCGTCGATCGTGGTTTGATTACCTAACTTTAATTTTTAGGTTTGCTTGACATATAAGAAATTTGAAATCAAGTCACTTGCTACACGCCGAAATTTATTATCCAGCCATCTACTTGAGGTCGCTAAGGCTTTGATAATGAGCAATTTCAGTTTTAATTAGGTTCAATCAATGGTAAATCAATATGAAGACGAGCTGGTAGGATACCAGTAAGCAATAAAATCACCAGAATTCAATACTTGAATCCAGGATGTGAAGCCAGTCGATTTCTTAACAGTAGTTTTCTAATAAATATTTTTTTTCTAAGTGTCCTCACCATTACTGATTAAACTAGTTCTGCTGGCTTGTCGCACTGAACAAATGTGCCAGAGAGTTCCTTGGCGATAGAAGTACATGTAAGTCGCTAGGATCACCAGGATTTTTGGACAGGTTTACTCCTGCGGGGAATAGAACCTCAGCACCAGCACTCAAAAGAGCAACAAGCCAATCTACCAGACATTAATAAAGAAATTAATTAATAAACATTATTACTCAACTATCGATACTATGATGAATGATTCCAAAATCGTAAACAATTCCATTTGGTGCATGAAACGAATGAAGCTTATCGCCAGATGATAAAATGATCAAGGGGTGCAGCAGTCAAATACAACTCCATTACTAAATCTTACGGCTCATCATTCGTGATATCGCCAGCAGATCTTTATTTTTCTATTTTGATACGTAGATGTTCCGCTGAAAATTTCTGAGTAACCTTTCCTGCTTCAACCACATTACAAGCATAATGGATGCCTCATGAAGCAAAACATACGCAAACATCGATATAAATATTTCGTTGTTGGGAAAAGATTGTGCAAGGCATTGGTTGGTTTATTGTTTGCATCTTTGCTTGCTCCTTCTATGCATCTTACATAATAACGAAAGAGTATATTCAGACTTACTGGTAAAGATAGCGGTGTGTCGTTGCAGCTTCGCGTTTCCGCAGCGATGGAAATAAATACAAATAAATACTACCTCAACAAATGACATGGATCTACATTACTGGATACCGGCCGATAGTGTTCGAACTGAATAACTGTCCGAACTGTTCTTTCCGATACCAAACATCGCTGAATATTTGATCACATAAAAAATGAGCGAAGAATATTAATATTCTTAGCTGTAAACAATAGACCAGTGGAGAGTGATTCAAATTGCTGCGTTAAAAGCCAAGGTGCTCCGAAAAACTAAGCTGGAGAATACAAGTAGTGGTGCCGTCTGCTACTTCTGCCACCAAACGACTGCACGGCGCAATGTGTTCGGTGCGACAAGCCAACGGACCGAACCTAACCGCAAATGGTGAGCGCTATTTTCTGCAGCACGGATGCATACACGCAGTTGGCGTGAACGGTTGTTGCTTATCGTCTAAGGCTTACTCGAGCGTTTCCTCGCTCTTTTCCCCGCTTTCCTTACAATTTTATTTTAGAGTATTTATTTAGCGCAATTTTTTGCAGTGCGAAGGTAGTAATGTCCAATTATTTCGCATAATTTTGTCGTTGCAATCCTAATTCATGTCGAAGTTATTTATAAAGAAAAGAAAAGAAAAGCTAAATTATTAGTAACGCTAAAAACTCAGTGAAAAAGTAGACTTACGAAGCATTTGAGCGTATTTCTCGGCGTTGCACATATTCTTCTCTACAAACATCTGAAATGTCGTTGAAACTCATACTCGGTGCGCTAAAAGGTATGCAGTGGGCATGACAAATTGAAATTACGCAACAACACTCTTGTGACGCTTCAACTTAGCACTGATAAGATAAAACTGATAAACCTGGTGGTGCGGGGTGTTAAATCGCCCTCCGACACCCGCGCACCCCGAATATTTTACGAAACTTATTTGAATATTTTGTATCGGAATGGTGAGGATAAACGAATGGAACTGAAGCAGTTATTATTGTCTTCCGCAATAGAATACTTTTACACAAATTTCTAAAGGTTAAACTAATAGAAATCACAAAAAGGAGAACGCAAAAAAACCGATGGGTGTCAAATATTTGACACCCGAAATCAATATTTCTTTTAGCGCAAATACAAGAGAAGCGAATTGCAAATGGCGCGTTTTCAAAAGATGCATTTTGTCGGGTCTTGACGATCTTCCCGGAACGTTCTTTCCAGGTTCATTTGGGAGAGCATGGAAGCCGTGACTCCTGACTCCCCCCGATCGGCGGTCTTGCACTGCTCTCTTGGCTGATATCACCTTATCACCTTTCTAGTTTTAGTGTTTTATTTGCTTTTATATGGAGATGTTAGTAGCACCACCTCAGCAATATTTAGTTCTAATTCCTGAAAGGACTTGAAAAAACATTAGCCAAATCGCAGTTCCTTTGATCAGTTTCATCTGTTTCTTAATCTTTTCTTCTTCTTTGTCTCTCTTTCCATTCTTAGAGGTATTGCACGGATGAGCAGAGACGAGTTGAATCGTATAAATTTCGGCACTTTCAGCTCGCGCTGTTACTAATCAGGATGGCTGTGAGTACGATGGTGAAAGAGCAGCTCCACGCAGCTCGATCCGTTGCAATTTGAGAATAACTGAAGCCACTGCTCATTTAATTTTAATGTCTGATGTCTGGGCCTCAGTAATGTGTTATGTGATATACATTAATATTGTTCTCTCGAAAATCTACAAATCCAGTCAAACTTCTTGCCAATCCGCTCAAAATAGCTCTTTTTACCTCTTTCAGACTTCCATCCCTGTCCTCTTTTCATTTTTCCTTTTAATAATATTCTTTGAGGTGCTGCATAGCCCTTCCAGTTTTTTCAAAGCTCTCCTTTCTTTCACAACTGCTTCAGAATCTTTCGCATCTGTGTAATTTTCTCAGACGATACACTACAACCAAGTATATGTCAATTGTCATCCAAGCTATATTTTTAATAACAATAAGGATTTATAGGGTATGTAAAGTCGTTTGCTTAACTGAAGGAACTGAATTTTGGAGAATCTTTTAAAGGAAGCTTATGAGTAAAAAATTTCACTTCTAAAGTAAATTGTAAAAAAATTATAGAAGCAAATAGATATCGGTGTAATTCGGTGTATAATTGGTGTTCGCAGGTCGCTTCAGAGAAATCCATTTAGCGATCTGTTAAGGGATTAAGAGCGGAGCACTGAATAAAAACTGTTAGCAGTGAACGTTGTTTTATGTGAGCAATCTTCAAAAAATTTTCTTTTCTATTGCTGATAATTTTCGAAATCCGAAATCTTTTCTTCTGCAGTGAAGTAGCTTCTCTTAGATATTGATAAAGAGCAAAACACCAGAAATTATTTATTCGCATTAAATGGACAAAAAGAACTAAAAATGTTCGCTCGAAGGCGAGTTAAAATCCGTACGTGTCCGCCATATTTCTGTCGGCAATTTCGTCCTCAAGTAGGCGAATTCGTCGTTCATGTTGTCGCAGTATTGCTTTCATTTTTTGCAAATCAGCGAACAGCTCATCAAATGTCATCGGCTAAATTATTCGATCTGTGAGCAGAGATTTATGAAAATGAAGAAAAGCATCAGATAAAAAGCGTCGAATCTAGTCGAAGAAGATGACGAAAAATTAAATTTTTTTGCAAATCTCTAGCTGAAGGAATTATTTATTATTAAGCGGGTTTTCTCTTGCTTGACTTCCGTATAAGTTTAATTTATCAAGAATTCCCACCTCATTCGTAACTATACTAGAAATGCTTTGTCTGGGAGAAACTGAATTTTTCATGGAAGATGGAGGCATAAGTTCCTCTCTATCGGGTTCACGAGCCTGTTCGCGTTTTATTCGTTCTAATTCGGCTGCAGCTCTTCGCTGACCGGCTGTTTGGTTGCCATTATCACGATCCGAGCGCGATCGTAAATTCACCTGACAAACACAAATTAATTGCTAAAACGATTTAATAAGAAAGAAAGATCTTAAGAAATAATAAAGCGAATGGCATTGTATGTGGTTGTCTCCAGTTTCGCATTTTTTTCGCAGTTTCCAAGGCCAAATATTTGATCTCTCTATTTCTATTTTTTTGAGACTCCCTCCCTTCCCCCTCTCCCCCACCCGATCAGATACCTTTCTGAATAGAGGATGAAATTAAAATTAAAAAATGATTGGTTAGTGCTCACCATTTCTGGTCGGGTTTGCTCCACTGACTTTTAGTGCTGGCGGCTAGAAATTTGCCGAAGAACCACTTGGCGATAGAAGTGTAGAAGAGTGAGCAGTGTGCGCAATTTTTTAAATGATAGACTCATTTACTCATGTTGGGGACGCGAACTAAACCTTTGCCCGGACTTTCGGTAGAATAAGCCGTTATGCACTTGGCTAATCTATTCGTATATAATATCTATCCGTATAAGAATATAAAAGAAAAGATAAAATCTATTTTAAAGAATGAATCCAAAGAATTTTTAAAAGCGAATTTTTTTAGGAATTTTTACAGAACTATTCATAAAGAATACGTCAACCATAATTTTTTAATCATTCAATTCAAAATTATTTTTTAACTGCTTAATCGTTTAATTAATACCTGTTGACGAGGAACCATCGTACTTGGCTTTTCAAACTGATGTGCTTGTTCTCTTTCGCGTTCAACAGCCGATCCTCTCTCCAGCTTCACAATACCCATATCTTCATCCGAAAATGGGGGTTTGCGCATTGATTTTGGTTGTTCTCCATAGTGAGATGGACTATCTTCGTATTGTGAATTTCTTTGAGCACCATCTTGCTGTTTAACAGCTCGAGGTGATGGAGAAGCACCGCTGCCTTGCTCCTGACTTTATTGTAAGGTATTAATAAGTGGAGAAAAGCAGAAAATTTAAATTTGCGTAATTCGCTCAGTATTTTATGCTCATTAAAAAACCTGGATTTCCAAACTATTAGTTAAAAGTAGCATAATCGATGTTGTTTCGACAAGAGTTAAGCCGTCATAGATTCGATTCCGGCTCTTTGGATGGAATTAATCTAGTCATTAAAATCCGAGCGACAATGGATATTTACTTGCACTTCTATTCCAGGCAAGCCTCGGGCGAAGAGAATTCTAATCAGAAATAGAAGAGGAAGAAATATCGCAGGATCACAATCCGCGACTATTTAAAATCACTTTTACTGCATAAATAGCGGCAATATTTCTTAATGTTTTACTCTTCCAAACAAAAGATTTGCATGAGATGAATTAAAAAAGGTTGGAATTGGTAAATTTCAAGAAATACTTTGATTGAAGCTGCGCCAGAATATTGGCCTTTTTGGCGACAGCAATTTTTGGTTTAGCCTCAGCTGCATCTGGATTTACTGCTGTAAGATTCGGTGGGGCGTTTGCACCACCAATCCATTGCTCTGCTGTTAATGCTGGAATTTGACTGCGAGTGTCCGGATAGAGATCAGCCTTTAATTAATTTCTAAAGTAACGCTAACTATTAGTCAACAATATGGAGAAGGTAGGCATATAGATTTAATCTCCATAAATAATCTCCACTTTTGTATATTTTAATCTTCAAATAGAAAGAAATTTTTCTCAATTTTATAACCATAAATACTGGAAAAACCACGAATTTCTCACCGGAAGTATTGATTTGAGCAATTTAATCACTGGCTTCATTCTCAAAAATTAGATATAGCCACAGCTCATTCAATTTTAAATCCTCTTGATAGCACCAATAAGGTAAGCAGATAAGCGCACATCTTTTCTGATTTTCTAATTTTGTTGGCTATGCTAGCTGCTAGTACGGTGAAAATTTTTGCCGGCGAGTCATTTGTGAGTAAAAGTACAAGTATGAATGAGATTTTTCAATGGTGGGTTTAGTATTATATTTGGCAGACGCAACCCCGCGACGCTTAAGACGACCAACTCAGTAAAATAACAATAGCCCGAGGTTGGTCTTACGTCCATCGTTAAGATTATTAAAGTACAATTTAATAAAAATTCTAGACTAAATATTAATTTATAAGCATTATTATTGAAATAAGTTTCTCGAATTTCTTCTCGATTTGCTTATTTAATCATAAACGATGATCATTTAATTCAATGAACAGCTGTTATATTTTTCTTAACTCACTAATAAACATTACACTAAAATTTGAAAACACTAATCTGTTAATTTATAATCCAAGCCACTTTTTCATATGTAATAAGCTTGTTATTCGGAATTTTTAAAGCGAAATGACAGAACATTTCTTGATAGTTTCTGGCGAGGCATCGCTCGATGAAAACGACCCAAGCAAGCTCTCTTCTCTCCCTCTTTTTTGCTTCTCCCCTTTGAAAAATTTGAAAAAAAAAGTTCCCGCTTCTTGAGTGGGTAAAAATTTCATTATCACAATCCAAATATTCAAATATGTCCTTAATAATTTAATTCTAAAAGGCTGAATTGATTTAGTTTACTTGGAAAAGATCTGATTTTCTAGGCACGAAAAACTGCAATTCTTCGACGATGCCTTTCGTAGTGATTTTGTACATCCGCGCCACTTCATTTTCGTTTGAATTTAAACCCAATTTAGGCATAAATGCCAGTCCTCTTTGGGGTTCTGATGTTGTATACGTATTAATATAATGTACAAATGGATATTCATTGTTTACTTCATAATAGCGAATCGCACAATCACCCTGGAACAAAAATTAGTGTCCACTATTGATAACTGAGTCACTGCATAGATGTAAGTAAGTGATCACCACTTGCTTCTGGTTAGGTTGCCTGTTAACACGGTTAGAAATTTTTGCTAAGGCATTACACAGCGATAGAAAAATAAGCGATAACCAGTACAACCCGGATGAAAGGCAGTAACTCCTGTTAGTGCTGAGAATCGAGTCTATGATGTTCGACGCAGTCAAACATAGCATCCTTAAGATTCACGGCATAGATATGGATCTTAGCCAGTAATCAAGCAAGCTAGCTATTAAATAAATCCTTCATCAACAGTTACATTTACTTTTGTTAATAATCTGTCGTAAAAAAATGCTTTCGACCTTCACTTGTGTACGGAAAGAATATAATACCTTTCCAGCAAGATACAAAAGACCAGTATCTTCATCGTAGAGCGGAAATAATACTCCATTGCTAGTATCCAGTTCTTCTTGCACAATCGGTTCATCGATATTTTCCTAAAATTAATTTAGATGTCGCAAAAATATTAAAAAATATTAAAACATGTCGCAAAAAATATTAAAAATATGCAACTTTTAAAGAAAAGAATAACATGGCACATTCTAATATTTCTAGTACTGTGGCTCGATCCGTACCACTGGCAATATTTCATCTTCTAAAAGCTCTCACCATTACTGGTTAGGTTGGCTTCGTTAGCTATAAGGGTAAGATATCTGCAAGCTATCTGATCCGATGCTATCACTGAAAGTTATAGAAGCCATTCCTTTTTCCATCCTTTAAGTCCATATATCGCTCGTCCGTCTATACGTTCAAAATCTTTTCTGACTGTATCAGTCCAGATCTTTGATTGGACTGCCTCGCTTTTGACGACATCCGTCACAAGGTTTAGCAAGTTTAACAAAATATGTGTTAACCGCGGGGGGGGGGGGGGGGGGGGGGGGGGGTGGAGTAATATTATCATTGAAAAAATCCGCAAAGTAATGGAAGCCCACTTATTTCTTAAGCTGTTGCCTAGTACAATTATCCTATCATTTTAATAAAACCAATGGATTAAGCCTAACCAGAAATGACAGGTTTTAATCACTTATTACATTGCATCAGAAACAACTAATTGATTAAAATAAATTTTTAAAAATCCCATTTCGCAACTTTTACATTATAAATATTCAAATGAAAAACTTTCAAAACCTTATTTTATTTTCTTTGATTTTAACTTTAATTTTTAAACTTTAAACTTTAAACTTTCTAAACTTTAACGATGCCAAATATAATTTGTTTTTCGACAAATTTCTAGAGAATTTTAGAATGAAAGATTACATTACCTGAGATCGCAAAGCGTAAAGACGTTCAGATCGTTTAGTGAAACCTGTAGTGATTATACGGCCATCTTTAATGAAAATTGCTCTCTGAGGCTTTACTCCTTCATGTCCGCTGCCTTGGTGCAATACTTCACCAGTATGAGAGTCTATTACACGAATTTTGCGATCTTTACATGTCGTCACGAAACGACTGCCTGATAGATTTCATTGAAAATTTAATATTTTGTTGAAAAAAATATTATTCGATATTAAATAAATGCCAAAAATCTTCAAATGTCGCATACATAACCATATTTAGCCAAATTTCGTTCATCAAATGGAACAAATTAATCATTTAATTGAACCTTTCACTGAAATTCTTTGCAAAAGTTAATTAAGGAAAATTAATTATTACAACGAACCGTCATAATTAAAGGATATTGACCATATCATATCTGGATGTCCGCTAATTTCGAGTAGTGCTTCGCCGGTACCCACATTCCACATAAGTAATTTATTCTCGCCTCCTAGAAAATTTCATATTTTAAATAATTCTTCCGCCATTCCCAACAAAATTTTTCTGCTTGCCGTAATTGACCAAAGAATAGACGGGTGTTTAAAAAACAAGAGCAAATAATTATTTCAGGTGATGCTTGGCCTTCCTATCCCCAAGAGTTCTGCCGAAGAGTTCTTCCTTTCTTCTTTTTTACAAGTTCTCCTAGTAGGCAGTGGAATCAACTAAGCTAGAAATTTGAATATTCAGTATGAATCTGCTAGTATAGAAAAGACCTGAAAACCATTATTTCATTTGATGCATAATTATATTCATTTCCGAAATATTCGAGTTTTTGCTGTGCATTTCACATTGCAAATTTCGTGATGTTTAACGTACGGCATGGGCAATAAAATTAAATATTGGTAAATATTATCGCCAAATATTTAATATTTCCTTTATTTAAATCCTTACAATGAGTTTCTCGAAAATAGATAAACCACTTGAATCAAAAGATTCTCTTAAATTGTCATCCATCAATTTGCGACCAATAATAATTTAATTAAATTGTTGCCTTTTTCTGACATTTTAGTGGAAGAATTTTAAATACCAGGTGGAAAAGTTTCTACGAAAATTCGATTGTCATTAGAATCATTTATGTTCTCAAATTTTTATGAATTCAACATAATTTTAAGGATCATGGGAAAACTGCAAAAATACAGGTAAAATATACCAGCAGTGAGAAGAATATTATTTGCAGAAGGGTGCCATGCCATCGTGTTCACCCTCTTTTGATGACCACTGAGTTCAACAACTGGTTCCGATAATGTACGTGTTAAGCCATTCGGAGGAATAAGCCAAACCTTAAAGAAACCAAAAATAATCGGAATGAAAAATGTGACAATAAGCTAAGCGGCATGTTTAGGCTAAGGTCAAACCACTACAGGTTCAATTTCTGCCTCTTAACGGAAATCAACTGGTCACTAGAAATAAAATCTCGATGGTACTAAGGACTTGGTTGAGACTCTAGAAATCAATAGAATTATGAATAGTGCGCGCTGTTAGAAAAAGAAAATAAAATATGGTCCCCGAATCATTGTGGCTGGATCACTGTCACCAAAACATGGAATTTACGGCTATAAAAAATGAAAAATATATAAATATAATATACTTTGCAAAATGTAATATTAAATGTAATATATACTTTGCAAGTGGTATCTTCCGAACAGCTCGCAATAACATTATCATTAAATGGACTCCAAGCAACTTCTAAGCAAGGTGCTCGATGCGCATCAACAAATGGAAAATCTTTATCAATACGTCCAACCTGAAATAATTTAGGTAGCTTTACAGAAGTCTAATCTAATCGACCAACTATCTTTCATTTTTGATAATTTATAAATATATTGGCAAGCATTCATTAAAATATTTCTGTCCCGTTCGACCTACAAGGAATTACTGCAGACATCTGAAGTAACAATTTTCTTTATTTGTGTAAACATGGGACAATTAAAAAGATTCAGCCAATATTTCTCGTCTTATATTGACTTATAGAGATCATTTCATCCAATTTTTATGATATATATGTGTGGTTTTTTCCAAAAATAAACATTTGCTTCAGTCAAGCACCATAGGTTCGATTCGTTGCCCAGGTTGTGGGCAAACTCAAAAAATACGGCTGTTGACGGCTGATCTGTCGTCAAGTAATTTCCTCGTGAAAAGTTTTATCAATTAATCCGCAGGAAATAGATAAGGGACAAAATGGCTGAGTGGCACATTTTTTTCGATTCTGAATTCATGCACCATAAATTCAGTCCATTTGGCATTTAACTTATCATTGAAGTAAACTTTATCATTAAAATTTAAATCCACACTTTTAATCCAAATGAATGATTTCTATTTTAAACCGCTAGAGTCAGCCAAACAGAAACAGCGAAAGAAAATTGGCAGATAGGATTTCGCTTCGACCACATTAATGTTTTTGCAGCGTATAAAAACCAATTTGAATTGACCGTTTAATGAAATTATGTACTAAATCGAGGAGAAAACGTTGGTTTCAGAAAATAAAGCCACGGTCGGGGATCGGAAACGGAGAAGAATTAACTTGCAATAACCTGCGGCAATAAATCTCTCTTCCCTTCTATCTGATTAATTGAACAACTGCTGTTATATTACATTGTTGTATTCATTCAACAAACAGTTAAAAACTCAGTTTTAAAATAAAATAAAATGAACTCTTAAAATCAAATGGTCAAACAATGAATGAAAAATTGAAATGTAGTGCGAGAAATTTAATAAAAATGCAAATAAGTGGTGAGAGCTCAAAATTTCCGGTTACTCAACTGGCTGCTAATACGGTGATTTTAGAAATTTCTGAAATTTCTGAAAGAAGGTCAACTTCCACCGGAGAAAGTAACCCAATCCTTCCTTCTCAATGTAACCACTTCTTTCTTGATTGATTAAAATTGATTTAAAAAACACGCTGAAATAAAAATCGAAATAAGCTAAGATAAATGAAATAAAAATAATAACTAAAATAAATTAACTTAAAAATTGATTTAGCAAAATATAAAAATTATTACAATAAAATATATTAATATGTCCTTCGTTCATCAATACTTTCAAATATTTTTAATAACAGCAATAAACAATGATAAAAACTTCGTACTTGCGATTCATTGTTTGCTGGACAAAATTATTGTTGTCGATTGCAATAATCAACAAATTTATTAGCAGTGAAGCGGTAGATGAGGTGGCTCACTGTCGGTCCAAGCACGGTCCCTCCCTCTGATAAAGAAATCAATTAATCTAGCTGATTTTGGCATCTATCTATTTAAGAATTATTACGAAAAAATATCAACGGCAAATGACTCTCTGGCGAACATCCTAAGAATCAGTGAAGCCACGCAAATCAGAAGATTCGTAATATCGGCTTTTTTATAAAATAAATTACTGTTAATAAAATGATTATCAATCAGTCACCTATTATTATTATTATTATTATTATTATTATTATTATTATTATTATTATTATTATTATTATTATTATTATTATTATTATTATTATTATCATTATTATTATTATTATTATTATTATTATTATTATTATTATTATTATTATTATTATTATTATTATTATTATTATTATTATTATTTATACCATTTAGATTAAAATTAATTAGTTTTACTTTACTATAGGCAGCAGCAAACCTGTCTTTTTGTTGACTGACACTGGCAACACACATGTATTTCTATTTTCAAGTAATTTCTCTGGTAAAACCTTGTCTAATCTGACAAGCCAGCCAAGTATGGAGAAATGGTGAATGAGTGCTCCAAAAGAAATAAGAAACTATAGGTTATAAAAAACAAAGATATAAAGAATGCCCATGAATAAATTCAACTGGAATACCAGAACTAAACATAAATAATAAACATCACCGAGACTAGATTGAAAAAATATAAAAACATGAAAAAATAAAATTGTAAGCAAATACTGATATGATAATGAGTTCTCACCACCACTGGTCAAACTCGCTCCACTGGCTTGTCACATTGAGCAATATGCCGGGGAGTCCCTTGGTGATAGGGATACAGGTGAGTTGCCAGCATCACTCGGACATAAGCAAATATTAAAAAGGAATGAAATGAAAAGAATTTATTTCTTAAATACTAAAAATGATTGGGTACAATGCATGGCTCAGCGTAATACATTTTGTTAAGTAACATAGTAACATAGTTCAGCTTTTGCTCCTATAAAAGAAAATCCATAATCCAGAAGCTATGGATAGCTACTTACATTTTTATTTGCAATAATACCCGTATAACCATCTTATTATTAGTTCATTAAATGATACTTATAAGCAGTTTTTATATCATAATTATTTTTGCGAAGACACATAAATCAGTTGGCAAGTTACATGAGATCAAATTAATGTTGATATTGATTTGAAGTGCAACTTTTAAGGTCAAGAGGAAACCACAGTGATCATTAAACGAAGAGCAGCGATCATACAATAATAATTATATATACATAATAAATAATAAAATAGCAGCAGTAATGGTGATAATAATAATAATTGGCAAAAATAATTAATAAAGATAACAATATTAATAAATAATAAATAACAATAATAGTAATTATATTAAATTATAAGTAGGACAATAATACTAAATATAAATAATAATAACACCAATAATACTAATGGTAACAACAATAATTAAGAGAAACAAAAAATTATTCCGAAAAATATTGTATAATTTCAATAAAACTGAACCAAATTTGATAGAAAAAAATGATTAATCATTAAATTGAAATTACTTCAAAAATTATAAAAATAAAGAATACGCAAATTTTTGGAAATAAAAAACTAAATAATATAATAATAAATAAATAAAATAAAATGGAAATAATAAATAAAATGTTTAAAAATATTAAACATTTAAAAAGCAAAGATATAAAGAATATGAAAATATTAAAAATAAGAAAAAGAAAGAAAATGAGGAAAATAAAAATATAAAGTATAAAAATATAAAAAATATTAATTAATTATTAAAATATTTTATTTGTTCTATTTTGGCAACAAAAGATACAAAAAATAGGCAGTAAAATACAATAAAACCATTTATAAGCCACAGTTGAAAATGAATTCACCACAGCACGTTTTAATATTCTTAAAATTTTATCAAAAATTATCGTATGATTCAACGTAAAAAAATTAGAGAAAGCGAATTTAAAGAAAAAAATGGTTAAAAAAACCTTTATGATTGATCAAAAAAATCCACTGGATTATTAAAAGGAAATCGAATATTTTTTGTTGCAAGTGATAACAAATGAAGTACCTTTATGATAGGTATAACCAAGAAAGGTCCACCGGATCCTTTATTAATAATAGCGATGAATTTTTGATTGACAGCACAGAATAGGGAATCCCATGTTATTTCAGTAATTCGTACACCGGACATGCATTGTTCATGCTTAACCGGTTTGCAGAAAACATGTCGGAACTTACTTTGACGTACAATATTACTCATACTCTATGGATGTTGCGAGCAAATTAGTTCGACCTTTCTCACAATAACATTATCAGCAACAAAGCAGCATATGATACGAGAAGTAAGTTTCTAAACAGCCTTCCTCTTCCCGTTCACTTCGATCGCATTACCACCTCCGCCTTTTACACACACCATTCAAGAGAAGCAAGAGCAGTAGCAGCACAAGCAGGCAGCGATTAATGTACCCGCAACCCGTCTCTCCTCTGCAGAATTTGTTCATTTCGTCTGCACGTTGTGTGTGTTTGTATAAACCAGCCCCATTGTCGTTTCTATCGTTCTTTCCATTCGCTTGCTTATCGAATTCTCTCTCTTCAACGTTCAGGTGGTTAGTGGTTACCAGTGATCGAAAAGAGAAAAATCAGGATAATTCGGCAATCGAAATTCGGATTGTTATCGCTTATTGATTGGTAGATCCGATCCAATAGTTCTTTCTGCTTAATTTCTTGTTCAGAAAAAGAAAATCATTGTTGTAAGGCGGCGGCCGAACCAACTAATTCAGTAGCTGCGCGAATCAATTTTCTTTTGTGTATGTTCGATTAATGAAGATAAGACATAAAGAATTTAGTGGCAGGTTCTCTCACCATTTCTGGGTCGGGTTTGGCTCGTTTCTCAGCTTGCGTGTTTTTTAAGAGTTCCTTCCAGGCAGTCGCCTACGGAAGTGGACGCTCAGCATGAAAAATAGTTTCACGAGACGAAAATACACGAATCATTTACAGTTTTCTTTACCGACCGCAGTATAGTTCAAACAATGTGACTTTAACAAAAAAAACATTTTGACATTTGTTTTCGCAGGCTTAATTATTCTTATTACTACATTTTATCATTATTATTGTTATTATAACTACAAAAGCGTTCACCATTTCTGGTTCATTATACAAATTTTGATGGCAGAAATATGGGTGGATCGCCAGCGCCACCCGGATCATTGAAAGTCAAGGCGCTCCGAAATGAGAACACCGAGAGACTGTGCCATTCTACCCTTAATTTTAATTAAATTTATTTCTTTATAAAACTAGGAAAAAATTTAAATGATGGAACAAAGAAAGTAAAATTATTGGAAAATATCATTATAGAATGAAAGTTTAAATGCTAATATTTTCTCAAAATACTTATACTCAAAGTGCCAATTTAAATTAATATTATTAATGTAATTATATTATTAATATTAGCTATTAAAGCTTCTTTTTTAAAGAACCCTCACCATTACTGGCTTATTGCATTGAACAAAATGTACCAGAGAGTCTCTTGGGGAGTACAGGTGAGCCGCTAGCATCATCTGGATTTTTGGACAGATTCTCTTCTGTAGAGAGTAGATTCTCAGCATTAGCGCTCCAAATTGAGCAACAACCCCGTGAGTCGTTTTATTTCTTTATTTCGCCTGATTAGCGATTTTTTAAATGTTGTATAAGGCTATTATTAAAAAAGCAGTTTCTTAAGGTGATATTACATTGGATATTATATTAGATATTGGATATATATCAATTCTAAAAGTTTCAAAATTTTTCGCCTGGAATTATTTAATTATGTCAGTCTCTATTCACTTCTTCTTCACTTCTAATCACTTCTAATTTTTCATTTTTTCAGGTAGCATATATCATGAAAATACCATGAATTCAGGTCATGAAAATAAGTCATACCAAAATCTGAATTAAGTAAGCGGTTACCATTAATACTGGTTAAGTTCATTGGGTTCTTAATTAGGTGGAACAATTTTATCCGAAAATCATTTCCCAGAGAGATAGCAGAGTTCCATTAAGAGCAGAAGCAGATGATGCTTGAAATGACAACCTAAGAAAAACAAGTTTACCATCTGCTAAATAAAAATATATATATATTTTTTAATAGGAATAGAGGTGAGCCACCAGCATCACCCAGATTTTTGTACAGGTTTACTTCTGCTGGGAATCGAATCTCAGCATCGGCGCTCCCAATTGAGCAACAACCCAGTAAGCCATTTTATTCCCCCATATAAATGCTTACGGCCATACCACGTTGAAAACACGACATCATATGAATATAAAAGATATTTTTAAAAATATAAAGAAAATACAAAAAATTATTTAAATTTCAATTTTAATCTTGAGTAGGAGTTGGATGGTGCCAAAAACGTGGAAACCTATTTAAGGCCTGGATAGACATAGTCAAGAAGGAGGCCACCGATCGATATATGCACTTAAGCAATGGAAAAATGATGAAATTTGCTTCAGATAATTTAACACCAGATCGCCAGACTTGCGAATGTTTTATTTTAGTCGCCAGCGGAACCAGGTTTGCGGTATTAGAAGATATCTGTAAATTTTGAAATGGAATTCATTTTAATTAAAATTTTGATATTAAGCATTGCTCATTGCACAATTCTCAAGCATAAAAAGTAAATTTATTTCATTTAACAAATAAATACAGTTCTCACTGGAAAATAAATGTTGAAAAAATTCAGCTACATATTTAACCTACAAATTTTCCGACAATCAAATAGCTTAATTAATATGTTTAATGTGTTTATCTTATGCTTTGACGTTTATTACGTACGATAGAACTATTATGAATGGGAGAAGCAAAAGTTTGGAGAACGTAGAAGAATGAACTGCAGCAAGCGATTAAATTTCTAAATTTGGATTCATTAACGAGAAAATGTTCAATACAAAAAGTTCAGATTTTATCAAAGAGAAAATCATTAAATACGCTTTTTTAAGGGGTCATATAACAATACTGAAGGTGATTCTCGGTTTATTATTCAAATAAATTAAGCATATAAATAATTTATATTGTCTTTAATAAAGATAAATATGTTAATAAAGTCCATAATCATAATCTGGTTTGCCATTTGCGTAACTCGTAAGATAAGCAGCGTGATGTTGAATTGGCCGCATTGAAAAACTGATCTAGAAAGAAGCTACCATAATCAAGAGATGGAATTCTTTATTTGATCTGCTATAATAAGAAGTTCCAACCGATATATTTTTTTTTCTTAGAGAGCGGGTACCACTTCTAGATAGACTCACTCGGCTGGCTTATTGGATTAGAGAAATTTTTGCTAGGGAGCCTCTTGGCGATAGAAGCGATAGAAGGTTATTAGTTACACCATAGTAAAATGACCCAAAGGCTTGGGAACTAGATATTCTTGCGAGGAAATTTCTCGAAACCTCTTAAGAGTCTGCATGCACTGCAAGCCACTTGCAAACTCTTTCTAAACTCTTTCTTTCTTTCTAAACGTCGTATAGATGTCATCTGTTTGTCGGAGATCCATCTTCCTCACTTCCAGTTTCGAGTAATTGCTCCGAGCAAAGGTATTGGCTATACCATTGTGGTGCCTCAGGTAACTCAGCGCGAAATGGCGCTCTAAAATTTTCGCAATGAGCAAGCCAACGCAAGCGTAATTATGGTATGCAAACAATACACCCCACTTATGACAAAACTAAATATTGAATGAAAGGAGGGAAGTAGTAAGCGGCGTCAAGGCAGCAGTTAACTGTCGAGGGTGCATTTCCTTCTTCTATTCCCAAATGAAAAACTGCAAATAGACAGAATAGACTGAAGCACTGATACCAGAATTTCAAATTTGTGATAAGAATTTAAAATTTAAAACATATATATTCATTGATTTAAAACATATACTAATTAAATTGAACAGATATTGGGAACTAGATATTCTTGCGAGGAAATGCACGTTTGTCACGTCAGAGGCTCAATCCGCTCTTATTAAGTGGAAGCCGTTTGGCCTAGGCGTTTCAAGGAAAGTTCTGCAATATTTCGGTCATCAGTGTATATGCTCCAAAACTGCGCAGATAAGGATAGGTTCTAAGCGAAGCTTCAATTGTTAACGAGAGGTGACATGGTCATAATCCGGGAATGCGTCACAATGCTACCACGATGAACTCGATGACTGGCAAATATGGCATTGGGATGCAATGTGCCAAGGGAGAACGCCTTCTTAATTTTGCCGCATAACATTACATTTTCGGCATCAGAGAAGACATTTAGCTACGTAGAACTCTCCCGATAACCGAAATTCTAACCAGATTGATTATATCTTAGTCAGTTGCGGTTGGAAGAATTCAGTATTAGATGGTCGTTTCTATCTGGACCCTAAAAGTGATAAATTTAATGGATCAGACCATATTATATATAAGGCAAGATTCGCAAAAAACAATATCATTCAAGATCTTTCAACTACCTTAAATCTTAAACTACAAAATTCGGACAAACTGAATCATTGAAGCATCTCAGTAAAATCAGTAACACCTCATCTCTGGAACGGAGAATGCTTATTGATCCCAACAAAAAGCATGCCTAAGAAATTCCGCCCCTTCCATATTAGGATTTACCAGTAGGAAAATGCGCTAACTGGGTATCGGAAGCAACAGCCCAATTGCCCATATACCAAAGCACGAGAGTCTTAGAAGATCCTGACTGCCGGATGTTTCGAAGAAATATAGAATGGCGAGATAGAAACAGATATTATGGCCTTGAGATGGCAGCTCGGTTAGATGATAATAAGAAACTATTCCGCCTTCCTCACAAAGCAATGCTATAATTTGGGAGATGCTTAGTGATATGATACGGGATAATAATGATATGCCTATTAAGTTAAGGACCTCATAAAATGAAAGGAATTCTTGGAAGCAAAATTAATCATCTGCCGTTTCGGTTATAGTTGAACCACTCATCGAATCATATGTCTGTAACTGAGAATCGCGAGTAGAAAAGGAAATACTCTCTGTCATTCAGAAGTTTAATGCCAATAAAACTCCCAGAGATGTTGGTCCGAACTCTTTAAATTTTCAGCAAATGTATTCTCTGGTGTGGAAGAAAGAAATAATACCAAATGACAAAGCAATTCTGCTGTCAATTCCTAAGAAAGGTGACAAGGTATACTGCGACAATTGCCAAAGAATCAGCCTAGACATCTCGACATCTCCGGGAAAATGTTTGCTTCTTTTTTCTTCTTTTTTCTTGAATAGACTTATAACAAGTACGAAACAACGGTATGCGCCCTAATTAGGTCCGATTCAGACCAGGACGCATTGTGGTGACAGATATTCAGATTTAGAAGGATGTTGGAAGATTTAAATAGCTACACCGTTGCCGTATTTTCATCGACTTTATAAATGTCTTCGATTCGATTGGTAGAACGGAGCTTTGAAGATGATGGAATGCTGCAGTGTTTCAGAGAAGAACATTCGACTCATAAAGGTATTTTATCAGCGCGCATCGTCATAAGCCTGTGTACATGGGGATTTGATATTTCTAGTTGACGAAAATAGGGAGTCATCGTGAAATTACTATAACGAAAGACAAAGTCTATTTGGCTGCAATTTGCTCAAATTTGCTATATTGCTGCGCGATGTGGCCAATGAAAGTGGAGGATATTAAGAAGATGTCTGGTACCCTTGATCAGTCATGTCTTACGGGTCTCCGCCGAGCGGATAAAATCGCATATCCACATATGATTGTATGATTGTATTCACCTTCGCTCAAATACCACTTGCATTAATACTATTACCATTACAGAGTGTGGTCTGCGCTGTGGTTAGTGCACATTCTTTGACCTCCACCACAGAAGTTGATATATCGCGCTACTTTATAAATCCTGTGAGGAATGGCGTCAAATGAGGATCAATCAAGACGTGGATTGATACAGCCAAGAAAGATCATTTTGAACATATAGGGGGACCAGCGATATATGGACTTAAATGAAAAAAGAAATTCGGTTTCTATTACTATTAGTGATGGTGTCGGATCAAACAAGTTGGAAGTATCTTATCTTTGTAATCAGCGAAGCTAGTCTAATCAATGGTGAGAGATGTTAGAGGGGGAAGAAGGATCCAGTGGCTAGGATTCGTGGTTTTCATCCACGCCGCCAGGTTTCGATTCCCAACATGGGGACTGCATTCCTTTTCTACGGGATATATTAAAGCATAAAAATCAGTTTAACGTTTCATTATGAAATTGTTCAAACAAGAATTAAATATTGCTCTGGCTAATAATAATTCAAACGAAAATTAATCTATAAAATAAAAAAACGTGCCTCAGGTTGTTGTTGCATGCGAGCCATATATGCACCCATTTTGGGATATTTTTGACCAGGGAAATACCTAAAACTTATAAAGAAATCAAATCTCTTATCATTTATCACTTCCACTCTTGCTTGCAGTCGTATCGCTACTTTTTGTAAATGGTCTTGGATGTGAATTTATTGTAAATCCATATACAGAATAACGTATCTGGAGACTTACAAAAAGTGAATTTGAAAACATGTAAAATGGACCTGAATTCTGAGAGTGGATTCATAGTAAATAACTGAAGCCGTTCGAAGAATGGCCATATCATTATATCCACATAACCCATTCCATTCCCTAAAATTATTGAAAATGGCTTTATAAATTTATTAAAACATGGTCAATTAAGCTGCGTAGTCTGCAAAAAAACTTTGTTATGTGTTTTATTAATTGATTTGAATCCTTCTGAATTCCTATATAATTTTATTTAACCCAAAGTATACTTAAAATACTTTAGGTATTTCCTTTAGGTTTTAATTGTTTTAGTTGCAGCTAATGATTAAAGAAAAATGAAAGTAAATATCGAGCTATTGAAGAAATTACCTCCATAGTAATTGTTGGCTAATAATAATTCGGCATTTCGGAGAGCTTTATTGAGCGATTCATCTGCTTCGCGTTGATCCGAAGCATTTTTAGATCGTAAAAATTCAAATAACGTCGATATTAGCTGGAAATAAACAAATCCATATTGATAAAACACCCATTAAAAAGTTGTAGAAAGTTGTAAAAATAAAAAAATTCTCTTCACAGCCTACTTAAAAAATTAAAATATAAAAAGTTAACTGGTGAAAGCCGTTCAAGAAGAATCTTTTGCTCAGCTTTAGCAAAAGGATCTCTAGGAAGAACGGATGTCTCTGGGAAAATATCGTCCAAATATTCGACAACTATGGGCGATTCATAAATTGTCTGAAAAGAAAAAAAATATTCTGAAATAAGTGGAATCATTGAAAAAGCATTCCACTAATGATTCAAGAGCAGTAGTTATCAGCTAGTAAAACTACCGAAAAACGTTTAAAACCATTTGAATCAAAGGAAAAATGCAAACTCGTCCGTCTCTTTCAAATGCTGGAACTCTACCGAGAGGACTTTTTTTAAGAAACCAATCTGGACCATTATCCGGATTCACGTTAATAATCTCAACTCTAAAAAAATTTTTTATAATTATTTCGAGATGACTAAGGCTTTTAAAAGTTGTCTACGATTATTTCACTAGTTATTTGATTCTTCTTCGGCCAGAATTGTGTTTAAAAGGAGCAAATTATTCGAAGGGCAAATATCTCAGATAGATCGACTATAAATACGGAAAATTTTGGTTTGAACGACGACGATCAGCAGCGAGAAGTCGTTGATTTATAAGATTTACTTATTTTTATTTTTATGGTCGACTGTTTGCGCCCTTGTGAATTTTTAAACGAATTTTTTTGAAATGAATTAAACAAAAAATAAAGTTAATTCCTGAGGCATACGACGACGAAACAAATACGATAATTTTTTTATATTATTATTGAATAAATAGAGAAATCTTATAAGGGGAGATGAACCAATACAATAGTATCTTCATCGTTATTAAGATATCGTAGAAGATATATTAGAAGAAAAACGTACGGTAATCGCTTCTTGGCCGCATATATAACAGCTCTTTGTCCATAGGGACAAAATCTCATGCTGTATAATCTGAGTGTACCTGGTGAAGCAGCTGGTTCAACTGATCCTTCAATGATTGTAATTTGATTAACGATAAACATTGTCAAAATTAAATTGCTCATTCGTCATGCTTTAACTCCTTATTCCTTTTTAAAGATTTTCAAAAATCAACCAGAATTTTATTTGATGAATTGGCCTAATCGCTTGATATTTAATATTAAATTATTGAAATAGCTGCCAGTTTATTGCTTTTGAGGAATCAGACCTAATTGCGATGAATACCAGGATTTTTGAAATATTACGAAAAGGCCAGCTTGGCCTTGCAGTTGATGGCTTCCTATCTCTATTACTATTCTACTGAAAAAAATAAATCTTAATTTTCCACTACGAGGGAAAAATGGAGAATAAAAATTCGTAAAATCCTACTTTTACTGCCTTATTTGTTTAGGACTCGGCACTTCTTTTCAGGCCGAAATCCACTAAATTTTTTGAGAGAACTAAATTTTTTGTTGCATATTCGGAATCCGAAAGACAGCAGCGAAGAAAGTTTTTTCAAATAGTTTTAATGTTAATGCCATAGTCATAGTCACCAATTTCCTATGTATAATTTAGATTCAGCTTTTTAAAACCCTTTAAAAGATCGATCGATATAACTTTATTTTAACATTTTGAATGAATTGTTTAAGCATAACGGTCGTTTTATTTCTTCTAAGTAACTGCGTCCCTTTAACTTTACATGTTTCTATTTGCAGTGACGACTTTTAATTTGAAGAGGATTAACGAAAAAGAGTAAGTGATCGAGCAGTTGCTTCAATGATTCTCAAGCCGTCGTAACTCTTTAGGCAGTAAATCATCATTAGAAGTGAAATCTAAGTGCTTGAGGATCTGACTATCGCTATCCTCAAGTTAAGCTTTCACTCTGGTCCTAGTCAGTCCTAAACCCGGACATTGTATTTTTTTGTATATTGCATCAATTTTCTAAAATGTTGCATCTATTTAAACATTTATTTACTTTTTCTTAAGACAAATCGAATTTTTCCACACAATTTTTCAAATAAAACAAGTTTCCATATTGGTGAATAAATTTTATTATTTTAAAATACCTGGATGTAGCGTAAAGGAATTAAGTCCTCGAATATGTATTCTATTTGATATAGGTGACACAGATTGATCAAACTGTGGTACAACAGTCTTTTGCCGAGACAATGCTTGTGACGATGATAACTGTGGTGGTGCATAATAACTTCGCATAGGAGATGAATCTACACCATTACTCGGCGGAGAAATGAGCACTGGATAGCCATTTTGTTGATTATTTTGTATGTAATTAAGTGGCATCACTGTGTCGTCTACGGAATGAGAGAACGGCTGAAATGGCCGATATGATTGTAAATTACATGATGAATCAAAAAAGGAAAGGTGACTCGGACCATTAATTACTATTTAAATGTAAAAATACCTGCGGCCCAAGCGAACTTTTGTCAGCATTCATCAATATGGTTGCTAAATCTGTAAGAAATCGTACACACATCGTTGTTGTAAAATTACATTGCTGCATTTTCGTATCTGAAACGATATTTGGAAAATCAATGCTTGTGAATATATGAATAAAACTGAAGAGTGATAATTTTTAATAAATTTTTGACGGAATCTTTTGAATGGCATCTCTAATGGCATGTTGCTTCGACCAAAACTAAGTTATGACAGGTTCGGTTATATCCTTTGAAGACCCGCGTGGAGACACATCTGCCTGTTATCTAATGGAGTCGATCGAACCGAATGGAGAAAGGAGAAAGAAAGGAGAATGGAGAAACCGAATGAACTGAATGCTATTAAAATCAAGAATAGCAAAAGGTATAGTGGAAGGAAACATGTTAAAATAATGTTTTAAAATAATGTTAAAAGTCATGTGCAACAGCTTTAAGCCAGCTTCGCCTGCCGTTGGTACTGTACGGTTAAAAAATCTCGGTAAGGAGAAACTTGGTTAGAAGAATAGATGGGTGCAGCACATCCCGATTCTTTAATGATAGGCGCACTTCTATCAGAAATAAAGGAACCGAACGCTTAATGTTCGACACAGATCGAGCAACTGTTCCGTCATGGAGCATGTTTTGGTTTAGAAAATATTTGTCATCAAATAAGAACAGTGAAAAACGTGCAAAAAAAGTAAAAGATTGTGAATAATGACTACGAAACGATTCTAGAGAACTATTTGAATAAATGAAAAATATTAGCCACTGTCCGAAGTGAAGAGAGCTCTTATACCAGTTTTATCCATTAATATAACCATCGCTTTTAATTTTTCCATCTAACTTGTGTCTATTCCTCATACCCTAAGAAGCTTCGAAAATTGATGTGATGATTTGATAAATTTCTTTTAATAATGCATGAATATTTCTATTTTGGGTGGTTCCATTTGCTGGCAACAGCATCGTATCAGAGTACCACTATGTGGTGGCAATTTAGAATCTCCAGCACTACCTGGGATTTCGGTGGATATCAAAAAATATTTAATAGCGTACGTTCATTTGACATGTGCACTTACTTTGGAGACTGAAGTAGCAATTGTTATTTCATTTTCATTCCTTTTGATGCGTAAATGTATAAATTAATCTATAAATTTTTTCAAATCCCCATAGATTTGAATGAAAGTTTGAAATGAGGAATTTCGCAAAATATTAGCTAAAGTTGGGGAAAGGTAAGTAGAAGTAAGTCTTTGGCGCTCATCACATCATTTCTGACTTAGTGGCGATTAGAAAAAAATTTTTACTAGGACATTACTCGACAATAAACGTACAGGCAGGTGGCTGCCATCACTACTCGGATTTTTTAATGACAAGGTGACAAGGTGCTTACAAATTGATTTCAGTAAATTAGGATTTAAAAATTAAAAATGCTCAAAAATTGTTTCCTTTTAGAAATTGTTATTTCAATTTAAACCTTAATTTCAAATCAAAAACACTTAAATTTTTATCAAATTTAAATTAAAATTACTAAAATTAAAATTAAATATTAAAAAATAATAAATATAAATGATGTATATATATATATATATATATAATAAGATGGATTTCCTTCTAAAATCCATATGGATAGGTTCACCAAATTCACGCGGAACTGGAAAAATTTCGAAATTTCTCGTAAGTAAAATTTTGCTGCATTTATATCCATATAGACTTCCAGCCCTTTTTTGGATGCCAAAAATATATCTGGTTTTCTCTAAAGTACTAATCTGAATTTTGAAAGATCACTGTCATGTCCTTCACATAAGAGGTTTACTCTATTTAATATCCCGTATAGTGAGCTAAGTGCTAGTTAAATTATTTTCCAGTTTTTAACCGTACGAATCAATGCTTCTTTAAATGCTCTTGATGAAGGCGTTAATATAGATTTGAATTGCCTGAACCAGTCCAATATGAATAGTTTTTATGAAGGCTTGAAATGAGGATTGTATTCCACTTCGCCATTCTCGGTTATAGCCACTTTTAATTGCTCATTCTCGATCGTCAACTCGAACTGGTTCATTCTGTTCGGTGTCCATCGGTGTCTTTCAGCAACTAAACAAATAATTTACAATAGAGAAACGAATTCTATTTACAGAAGATAAATATTGCTACGACGACAATTCACGTTCATCAGTTTGCTTCCATTGTAATATATTGCATATAGTGAAATAATATAAAATAAATTTTAAATGCAACAGATTTCAAAATTCAGCGAATTCGAGAAATTTTCCAATCCCCCTTCGCCCCTCTCTCCCAAAAAAAAAGTGGTTCTCTTCGCTCTTTGCATTATACAGCCTACTGTTGCTAGCTTCTTGCTCATCTAAACTAACTGAAATTTGTTCTAAAATGAAAACAAACAACCATTTTAGCACGAATTAGACAGTAAAAATTTTTTATTTATCATGCCTTATCACGAGCCAATTTGACAAAAAAAATTTAAAATGTAAATCTGTTCGTATCTCTCCATTCTCAGGTAAATCTCCACTGAAGTATTAACATATTAATTAATAGTTTTAATAGTTTTTGACGACTTCATTCAGATTTGAAAATGAAAGTTTCATTCAAGAAACTCGTAATTTTAAAAGACAATCATTTTTTTCGCACTGAATAATATTTATAATTTTATAAATTTATGAAATTTTTCGCAGACAAAGCGTTCGAAAAAATCGAACAGCACGAAAGATTCTATTCTTGAATAATGAGGAATGACAAAGAATGAGTATATACTTAAAATCTTTATCCAACAGATATCCACTTTTATCCACTTTCTGTCGACTTTTCTTTCTGGATTTTTTAAAAATTTGATTTTACAGTTTTCGTGAAACATATGGAGAATTAGTAATAAATATAAATATAAATATAATATGATTGTCAAGATGAAAGTCAATGAAGCTTTTTGGACACAACTCACACTACACACACTCGAATCTCTTTCACTTCATCACCTAAAAATTTTTATTTATCGATGTGCCGAACCTATAATCGGTGACTCCGAAATAAGTTTAGGTTTTATGGTTGGTAAGGAGAACTGTGCAAATTTTACTCTCCGACCGAAGCGCATGAAGAAAATTTCAATGCAGAATAAAATACGAAAAACAGAAAATTTTATTGCGAATTCGGTAGGGATTAATTCAGCATAAATTAAGTTAAAATAAAATATTTTTTAAAAAAGCAAATATTTCTGTAGTGCTCGGCTTTCGGATGACTACAACAGATATCTTCAACTATCAGAGAGAGTTAAATAATGAGCCATCATGGTTGGGAGTGTATGGCTGAGAGTGAAAATCGACATGTTTTGATCCCATCAGCTGAATGAATCGCTTTCTCGTTTAATCATTGGCTCATTCAAGACTCAAAAAAAATTAATAAAATCCCATATTACTCTCGCTTTTTCCAAAGCCAAAGAACAATTTTAGCATTGCTTTTAAAGTTCAACGAACGAACGACCACGCAAAATATTCAAATTCCAGAACTATGAGAATAGAAAAAACAAACGGTGGATCTGATAGAGTAAATTTTATCGAAATGCACGATAGCAAATCTCCAAAATCTCCTTGAGAAAGAATCTGTCAATCGCATCCTCCGAGAATCGTTATAGGCTAATTTTTTTAACAACTGGATTTACCGAATTTCCCCACATGGAGGGCAATTTTACTGAAAATAGCCAACATTGACAGGATTTTTTCTGCCAAAATTTTCTCAAAATGATTTGGGAAGCAGCTGGCGCTCCGATTTTTAACACAAAACGAAGCGTTACCATCAACAAACAACAAATTAAATTGCAATGAATCTTCAAGCCCTAAATTAATTTGTTTTGCCAGACCACTTAGTCGGTTTAATCGAAGATGGTCGTTACAATGAGCAACAAAAGATCCCCGAAATCTTCGATAGGCTTATTGCCACTAATGATAATAACCACTTGCAACCTACAATTAAAATAATTAAAAAAGGCTTGACATTTAGTTCAGAAACATTTAGTTAATATCGATGCTGTTCATATTTACATGACATTCTTCCACGGGCAAATCCCATTTGGAAAGAAAAAAGGAAGCGCGTATAGTGCAGGTTTTAATATGTAAATACCGGAATTTCTTAGATTTTATTACTCTTATAAATTTCCTGGCGACAACTCAGCTATTTTTAGAATTTTTTCCACATACTTTATAAATTTATATATGCTTCCATATGTTTATATTTTGCACTTAAAAATTATTGAAGGGAGCACTTGGAGATGTTGAAAAGCAAGAAATTATTCCGCGAATTGTGTACGTTTAACACATTATCCTTTATAACAATGGATGTTGAAATGGAACTCCACACTGAACTTTTCTATTTCAAGGATTGAATTACAATGAACAAAGATTGTTGGATCGCATGTTTTTTTTACACTTTCGCTATTTATAGCCTCTTTTGTGAAATTAGTCTTCTACATTATCAAACAGATATAATCAAACGGCCAAATCGAAAACTTTCAAAACCACGTCAAACAAAGTATTAAAATGATACGATCGCAAAAATGAATCTCGTGTAGCAAACTCATATTATACATTTCAGAACAAACGTTTGACTGAATTCGAAATAACAACAATTAAATGAGAAATTACAGCTAATCAAAGGCAAGAATATAAAACAATTTAAGAATAAAAGAATTTGAATTTTATAAGATTTAAATTCGCCAAATTCGTTTGAGATTTCACAGCACTCGTGTTAAAGCCGAGAAGCTAGCCACCATCTCGTACTGTTCGAAGCATCAGAAAATTGGCAGATATTCCACTTAAAATGCCAGAAATGTGTAATCGGACTAAACTGAATTGTTCAATTATTCGCTTATTTTGCGTAAGGCAAATATCGCATTTTATTCATTTAAAAATTATTCGCTTTTTTTTAAATGGTTCAAATATAGATAACTAGAACATGGCTGAATTTTATTTACGATTTTAAAATAAAGAAAGAAATTGCAAAGCATTGATAAAAATTTTGCTGGTGTTTAAAAATAATTTTAAAAAAATCTAAACAATATTACTATAAAATTATTTAGCAATATTAATGCTAGAATAAGAATTAGTTTACTGGAATTACTTTTCTTCTCCACTTTTTTGTCGCCTACAGTTCTGTTTTTGACTATTACCTATTTATTTAAGTTTATTGTTCTTATAGAGTTCTTATACAATTAATAGACAAATTTTTAAATGAACGATCTAAATTATGAAATATAATCTAATAGAGAAAAATCACATCAGTAAATTACGATTAAGTTACCGATAAAGAAAAATTGATGTTGAAAAATATTAAAAGATATGAAAAAATCGAAAGATAAAAATATAATATTATTTTTATATATTATATATTATTCCAGACGAATTCATCTAAGAATTTCCATTAAATTGAAGTTTCTTCTGAATGTTTTCATAAATATCACCAATGAATATTTAATATAAATATTAAATTAAACTGAATAAAAATTTAAGCATAAGAGATAAGCAAAAAAGAAAAGTATAATAACCAATGAGAATAAGCAATAAGCAAAAAATAAGTAAATAACCTTAAATAAAGCAATAATAACCACATATTTTAGGATATTTCTATATCATCTTCATTAATTACTTTGAGACTAAGTAATTCCAGTTTACCAGCTTTTGAACTCTCTTTTCGGAAAAGTTCTTCGATTTGACGATAGGTACCCGGTTCAATCAATCCAACCTATAAAAAATACAAATGAAGGGAACAAAAGTACAATTTTGAATAAAAAATTTAAAAAACTGTGGTCATTTACGCAGATAAAACCAAAATTAATCAAGTAAATTTCCCAAATATTTATATAGACCAATTTCCTAGATTTTGAAAAATTTTGTGAAAAATAACCAAGAAACTTTGTTATTACCTTTCTAACTCACAAATTTCTCCTTTATTCTAAACAAGAATTCTTAATAAGAATATTCTAAAAAAGAAATTTTTTTAACGCTTTAAGATATGCTAAAATAATAAAGTTATAATAAAAGAAACCATAAGAAGATTTCCTTCAATCCAATCCTCAATTTCAATTGAAGTGAACATAGAACGTAGACGACCGTGTAAATGTTTGGCTTCTTTAGCTTCTACTGAAACACGTAAACGCATCTGTGCTCGTTCAATTTTCATAATCGCTTGCATTTTCGGTATCATTTCCAATGCCTGTCAAGAAAAAATAATAAATTATCTAAAGATCTATCCAAAAATATAATAATTAATGAAAGAGGCAGATCAGCTTAGTGGCTTATCGCTCTTATTTGAGAGGAAAAAACCTGTGAGAGTGATGTTGGCGACTTATATTCTAACTGACTTGTGATCAGGTGGCAAAAATTAGTTTGGTGCGAGCAAATTAATTGCAGTGGGTAAAAATGGGTGCGAGCAAATTAATTGCAGTGGGTAAAAATGGTAGGCATCTTCAACACAGAACAAGCAATGAACTAGAAAAGAAAAGAAAAAATTTACTTGCTGCTTTGCATTTTGATTTGGTTTCAAATTAAAATGCAAGTTTCGCAACCTATTTTCGATTATTGTTGTTGGATATGGTCGTTTTGTTTCAGGATTTACACACATATTACTTATTATGTTAGCTACTTCCTTGAAAGAAGATTCTGACTGAACATGCCGTTCTTTTTCAGAGACTTGTAAATCACCTTTATCAAGAATCTAAAATACACCACGGTAAATAAAAAAAAATAAAACATGGAAAACCAGAAGTAAAACCTGAAAAAAAATGTTATATTTATTTATAATGGTTTTATATCGATAGTATAGTGGTAAGAATAGCATGAGCTCTTCAATACTAATACATATTTCTGGCATCGAAAAGGACATCTGATCATATATAACTCTACGGATAACCAACACTCCAACCGGATTGATTATTGTGATTAAAAGAATTCTATCGTTTAGATAGTCGTTTCTATCAGGACACTAAAAGTAATAACCTTAATGAATCGAGCCATGTTAGACAAGACTGGCATAAAACTGAACACTCGTAACCACTCATTATGATACATAATACATGATACATTTTACGTCGAGCGGATAAAATCGCACATGTTTATATCCATCTTCGCTCAAATACCACCTGTATTAATTAGAGCACGTTCTCCGTCGTCCACCATAAGAGTTGACGCATATTTCACTACATGTCGAACCCTGTGATGGATGGCGTCAAAATCGAGGAAGAGGAAATAAAGACCTGGATTGATACAACCAGGAAAGATTTTGAAGGTATAGGGGAACCAGCGACAAATGAATTTAGATGATGGAACAAGAAATAGCATCTATTATTGGAACAGAATAGAGACGTCTTATCCATGTAGCTACCGGAGCCATCCTAATCTATAACGGAGAGTTCTGTTAGAAGAAAAAGAAGGCGCAAGATAAGTGCCATCGAGAATTAAGGATTGGGTTCAAATCCACCGATGCAACACTCTTCATCTGGCAGTTTCGAGTAACAAAAGAGAGGATTGTAGCCCATTGTTCAGATTCGGAGCGCCAATGCAGAGGTTCCACTCCTAGCAGAAAGAAACCTGTCCAAAAATCCAGGTGATGCTGACGACACACCTATCCTTCTATCGCCAAGTGACTGCTATATTTGTCTAGTACGACAAGCCAGCAAAGTAAATCTAACAAGAAATAGTGAGTATTTTTAAAATAGAAAAAAAGGAAAAAAATATTTCTATACTATTTTGTAGTTTCTTAAAGAAAAAAGATCGATGAAAATTTTTGACCTTATTGACTCATTTCTCATTTTTATTTTTAATTATTTTTCAAATTAGGATTAGGACTAACAATTTTACAGATTTCTAATTGGTTGTCCATGCCGAATGCAGCTATAAGATCCTCTCTCTTGGCGATCTGGCCTTTTGATACATTTGAAAAAACAGTCTGAGTTTGTAACACTTCATCGATATCCTTTTCACTGAAATAAATAATATAAAGATCTCTTTAAAAAAAAATAGTAAATAATAATCTCTTTAACATTTACCTTATCAGTGTTTTGTCTTGAAATTCTATTTTTTTCTGTTTCGCTCTACCATTTCTCTTACGCAACATTTAAAATCAAATAAATTAAGCTAAATTTTCCTTTTATTAAGCAAATTATAAATTAAATTATATATAATTTAATCTTTAATATTTATTTTCTTTTAATTTTTTTTTATTATTTTTAAATTTCTGTTTTAAACTTATCTTTTTTTTTGTCTTTGTCAAGAGTAAACCTGCCATGGTGTCAAAAATCAGGGTGACAGCTGACCCACCTGTATCTCTATCCCCAAGTGACTCTATAGTGAAAGGGTCAAGTCTCTTTGACGCGACGTCCGCGTCTTCCGGCGCGCATGCTACTGAAAAACGAGTATTTAACTTGGGACATTAAACCATATTAAATATTAAAAAGGGGACTTACAATTAAGTGTAAAAGAGAGTATGGCGGAGAAGAGAAAAAGATAAGTCCAAATAACAAATTAACTTTATACGCTTGAAAGATGAAACTTAACCAGGACAGAATATGCTGGATCGCTTATGCGAACCAATAAACAAATGCCCAACATCAAGACTGTCGTGTGCAATCATGATCAGCACTTTCGTAGCTTACATAGCCAAATAGCCGATAAGCACACAAATTAAATGCCGTTATTGCTCGAATGATCATCATATAGCATATTGTTATATGCAAAAAAATAGAGAAATAACAGCAAAAACTAACAGCAAAACACGCAACAAGATCAACAGCCTGACCACTGCTAACTATTTGAGAAATAAGTCAGTAAACAAATAATTCAATTCAGTAAACTTTTATTTCGTATGGAGATTTAAAACTCCTAGAACCTAAGGATAAGAACTTAGTAAAAAATAAAAGACATAAAAAATTCTATATAATCGAGTCGTCAATAATTAGCAGATGGGTACAGTGGTTGAAGTAATAAAATTTGCAATAAAAGCATCGATAAGAATAAAGAAATTAGACCACACCAGAAAGATAAATGAAAGATGAGAATGATAAATGGCGAAATGGTGGCTAATTAGCCCAGCCCAACTGGAGATAACTCCAGAAGATTAAAGAATATCGATGGATGCCACATCGCGAACAATATAATTTTCCTTTCAAGGAGAAGTAGGACAGGAGAATTATATTTATTATTCCAGACTTCCATTCGACCTTTGCAGTTTTTTACTTAACGTAATTACAAGAATACAGGATTCTAAAAGTAAAGAGATTCCAAAGGTAAAGAGACTGCATAAAGAGCTAAATTTGAATGTAGAGTGAAACGGAACGGCAACGTTTCCCTTTAAGGAAATGGGAATGGATTTCTTCAGCTTCCCGCAAAATTAGCAACAAAAGAATCAAAAGATGGATAATCTTTATCACATGCCTACTCGAGCCACATATTTAAAAATGGTTCGGGATTAATCGGTAGATATACATAATTCATAGTTTTTCAGCGCGTTAAGGATCACTTTCGACCATTTTATCGGATAACGGCATTGTTGCTACCAAAGCCATTATACCTGACAGAGATGGGTCAAGTGGTGCTTGAAAATTCATAACACCTCATGTCTCATGGGAAGATGGTGTTTATGGGAGAATGATAATAAAAATGCAATGAAGAAAATGATAAGCTTTTAAAAGAATAAAATTTTCTAGTAGAAAATAATCGAAACTGTCAACTTATTTTACAAATCTTCTTACAAAATATTACAACATCCGATGGACTTGATTCGCAATACAAATATCTAGGATAAGTAGTACTACTAGCAGATCTTGATCAAGAAAGTATAATGCAAAGAAACTGCGCGAGAAGTATATTAAAAGAAAGCACTGGGAAAGATGATCCAGAAGGATAACTTAAATATTCCATTTTTGTACTTGAAAATCTCTTAATATTCGGAAACGCTCACAGACAAAATCTTAACAACAGATCCAAAGGATGGTATTAATGGCACATAGAAAGGAAGCTTTTAAAATTAATGTTGTACTATTTCAAAATAATAATAATTGGTCAGTTGTTTTAACTGATTTATAAAATTTACTTTATTCATTTGATTGGTTATTTGTTAGGTGCTATAAAAGGCCGCTGGCTGAAGAAAAAAACGGTGTTGCATTGCTAAAGAAACCGCGGCGTGGACATATAACGTGGACATATTATTTTTCCATGGAAAGATAATTAGTTAGGGAGGAAGAAGAATGAGATTATGCAATTCGATTACAATTTATAAACCAATATGCGAAAATTTGTTTCATTCACATCTTGTCATTTTTTATGTCTTTAATAAAGTTTTACTATTCAAGTCTGAGACACAAATGTGCTGTTAATGCCGTTAGAGAAGACAGCAATCACGAGATGTTTGCTGTGAAAAATTTCGCGTGGTAAGTATCCAGTTTAATATCTTCTATTCTTTTCAGAAGAACCATACTATTTCCTCAAAAATAAGAAGACTGGCTGTCACATCACATAAAAGATGCACTTGCAGAAGAGGAACTACCACATATGCATAAGAAAACAGTGGGATGCAAGAATTTAAAAAAGGATAAAAAGAAAAAGAAGGAAGATGAAAGCTGGCGTGGCACCTGGTTGTCATAATCCTTGACATAGCTGACACAGGCTGACCGATTTGGAATGTTTCGACTAAAATCACGCACCATTATTTGACATCTTAAAGTTTACATGCATATCCACCTAAACATCCATCGTCGAATGAAAATACCTCAATTTTTAACCAAAAAAAAGGTGGAAACACTAAAAAGTAGAAAAAAAGTCCTAAACACTTCTTTAAATCTATTTAAATCTGTTTAATTTCAGGAAATTTCTAAAATAAATAATAAGTTTTTAAAAATTGAAATAAAAAACTTGCAAAAAACTTACGTTTTATTCCTCCAACTGACAACTTTATTCTTGTAACAAGCAATCTCAAAACGTTTACCACATTTTTTTATTCGAACAACTGCCACATTCGTAAGAAGTTTTATATTCGTTGGTGTTTTAATTCGACTAGAAATCATCTAAAAATTTGGACTCTGCATTTTTATAAAGTAGGCAGAAGGCAGAACAAGCAAATGAACCTTGTGCAACGATCATATTCTCGAGTTGAGAAAAAAGAGTTTGGCTTCTGTCGCTGATAGAGATAAACCTATCACTAAAAATTTAGTGGTCGCTTTTAGCGATCCCTCTATGGCCAAGTGACTGCCTGCAAAAATTCCTGGCCGTATTTGCAAGCATCGCAGTCGACCTAACCAGAAGCCTCTAACTTATTTTGTTGCTCTTTTACCAGAAATTCGCAAAAACAACAAAAAATTTCCATAGAAAGAAAACCACAATAACCATAAAAAACTACAATAAAAACCACAATAACCACTGACAAAAAGCTACCGCTTATTTGGAACAGAGCTGCATTTCAGTAACGATCGCTGATTTGCAGCTTTCATCCTCATCTGATTTTGAGAATCATACGCCAAATGCACCGAAACATTTCGCCGATTGGTGTGTATGAAGAATGCGGTTATGCCGTGCAATAAGAAAATTTAATCATAGAGCATGGTTGTGTGCGTTGACAAGCAGATTATGACGATCATGCCATTCTTCCTTTTAGTTGACGCAGCATGGAAACCAGGTGTTAATACTGGTTGAAGTGGAAGGTGGAGGGGAGGGGGGGGGGAGTAGCTAGCTGACTCCCATTATTTCTCGCTCGATCCTTCTCGCTTGTTGTTAGAAGGCTAAAAACAATTCAACAATTCATATTCTTCACCAAATTCTCAGCAAATTTTTGAAAGTGCAAAGTGAATTATTTTATTTCAGTTCCAATTACTCTTAGACAGATAAATTCGATGAAATGGTCTCTGCAAAAGATGTGTGAAAAGAACCGATAACTATCACCATTTCACAGCTTTCTTAAAAACAATCAGAAATTCAATAACGATAACAAACTCTTTTATTTACTTTTATTACAACCATTATTTTTATTTATTTTAAACTTATCACTTAATATCACCAATAGATAAACTTTTTTATAATAATGAACGCCATTAATAATGTCCCTTTTGCCTCACGCCAATTTCCTCTCAAATAATTTGCCATCTATATAATTTGAGTTGACTGATCGCATTCACCAAAACAATCGGTCAGCTCTCGAATAGAATCCAATTATCGAGCACAATTACTAATTGCTATGTCCTATTTTATATTTTGTAATTCTATGAAACAAATATTTCTTTTTCCTTTAGTATAAAACCATAAAAGTTAAGGGGTTCACCTTATAAAATTTATTACAAATATATATAAACCAGCAAATCCTTTGCTATTTCCACACTCACGAAGAAAAATTGAACTTTAGGTGGCTTTTTCGACTGGCGATACAATTAAATTCGACTGAAGCAATGAGAAAGCGAAAAGAAAAATGCTTACTGAATAGACAACCCGAAAAAACAAAAAAACAAAACGAAAGAAAAAAACCGATAAATATTGAATCGGTACGAAACAAATCTAAAATTTTTTAAAACATAATAATTGGGCATCTGACTAGTTCTTCAATAACATAAAATAAAGCAAGAAGAGCAAAAAAGAAAGATACGTGTATTTATATATATATATATATATATATATATATAATCTATATAAGATAGTAAAAGAGTGGAAATATTAGCAGCAAAACTATAATTACCTAAATGGGAATTAAATATTTTTGATATCACAACCACATTGCAGAAGATTTTCAAGGATTTTTTAAATACAAGTGTTTGTTTATAATAATAATATGAGAGATCTTAAAAAAACGATTAAATCCACTGAAATTTTGCTGTTTTTTGATTCTTCAAATTCTATAAACGTAATCATAAATTTAAAAATGAAAATCAATTCTAAAAAAGCATATCACAGAGCGTACAAAATTTCAAAAAAAAGCATCAGCAATAAGATTACAATTTTGCAATATAAGATTAAATTTTTAAATATAAAATGGTATGTTCAAATACGAAGTTTTCATATTGTGAAAAAATAAATATAAGCTTGAGCACAAGCAACAGCAATATTTTTATGAAGGGTTCACTGAAGAAAAATTGGTATGAGGTTGAGTGCTTCTCATCAAAACACCTGCAGTCATACCACCACTGCCTATTGGTGAATATATCTGACCGGGACGAATCGGTTTTGCTACAATATTAATTGTTGAAAAAAAAATTCTATAAAGTATAACGCACCACACGTGCTTAATCAGCTGAAATAACTACTCGTTAATTTTGATTAAAAATACCTATTTGAGGCGCTGCAAGACCCCTTCGTGCTAAATTGCGCTGCCGCACAGCTTCCTTTATACGTTCTACCTCGTTCTGGTATCTGAAATTATAACAGCGAACTGATCCAGAAAAAAGAAAATGAACGAAAATTTGCATCTCCTGATATGCTAAATCATTTGAATATGAATCAATTAATTTGAAAAAAATGGAACGAACTTTTTTCTATCGTTCATCGCATTTTCTTTTGCTTCCCTAAGAGCCGCTTCAAGACTTTTGACCCGATCCGATATTGTACGAAGTCTTTTTTCCATTTTGGGCAATTCACATCTCAAATCCGCATTATCTCGAACAAGCTACAAATTTTTATTAACACATCAACATTTTTATAAAAGAATACATAATATGTCAAAATTCTTTGTCACTAAAATAGAATAATAGAATAAATAGAATAGGAAGTTAAAATTCTTCAAACCTGTTTGTGGACTTTAGTAAGTTGGTCTAAATTATTTTCAAGGAAAATTATTTTCTGTTTTTGTGCCGGTGACGACAGATATTCATCTTCGCTTGGCTCTGTGCCAGTAGGGGTACGTTTTATCCTTTGACCTATATCTTGAACAAACATTTTTCTTAAATTGTGAAGTGTCTGCAGTTCTTTCGCAACAGTTTCTTCCAAACCTGAATTTTCCATTTCATTTTCTTCATACTAAAACAAAGAAGAATTATCTACAATAGCGTAATTGAAAATATTGAAAGACCTTTTAAATCGCTTTTTGCTTGTTCCCTTTTTTCAGAGAATCCAGAAAGCTCCTTAATTCGCTTTTCTCTTTCAGATTCATCTGATTTCAACTTATCATAATCCGACTGCAACTGATTTTTCGCAACTCGCAATTCTTGTAGCGAAGCCTAAAACAAACAATATTACAAATTCTCATTTTTTAAAAGATGCTGACTATATTTAAAACATTATTCAAATAACTAGTAATTAAATCAAAAACTCTGTCATACCATTAGCTCTTCTATTTCCTTGCTCTTCTGCGAGATTTCATCACGAAGAGCTGCGACCTGCTTTGCATGTTTCTCTTTGACCTCTTCGCTTATCTCTTCAGTAATACCACTTCCACTAGCAGTTAGCTTTTCATTGAGCAAATCAACCTGAAATATCAAGATAAAATTTGATGATTTTTCAATTTTTCCCAATAAATTTAACAGTTTCGAAAAAAATTGACAATAAAAAGTGGTTAAGTTCTTATTCTAATTTCAACTTCAAATGCGAGACTTTAGCTGAAAAAAATGCGCACTTGCTCTTCCAATTGCCTTTTGATTTTTTCTTGACTAGCTATATTTTCTTGAAGTGTTTTATTTTTAGCTTCATTTTGATGCAGTTGCAAACGGCATTCGGCAAGTTCTTTTTCGGTTGTTTCTAGTTTCTGAGCAAAATCGCCAGATCCTGATTCGAGATTCGAAACCTTTTGCAAAGTTGATTTGAAATCAGCACCAAGTTTTGAAATACAAATCCTAGCATGTGCAAACAGTTCTTCATCGAATGGCTTATCAGTTCCATTTTCTACCGTAAGCTTTGTAACATTGGTATAATTTGCACCAACATCAGCTAAGTCTCTAAGCATACATTGTACTGCTTCCGTAATTCGTCTTTTTTGTGTGTTACAACTTTCACGAAGTGCTTCCAATTCAGCAGTAAGTTCGAATAATTTCGTGTTTTTTTTTGACAGCTCATCACCAAGCTGATCATTTTCCCTACTTTTTTGTTCTGCTTCCTGAGTCTTCATATCATAATTCATTGCCAATTCTTCAAGCGCAGTTAAAACCTCCTTGGACTCCTCTTTTGCGGCTTCATTTTCAGCTTGAATCCTATTTACTTCGGCTTGAGCATTCTCATAATCGAGCTTGATTTGTTTAATCAATTCTTCTTGTTCATTCATTTGTTGTTTAAGACGTTCTGCCATCTGGGAATGTAAAGTGATCTCATCATCCTTTTCATCTAGTTGCTGATATAATACGGCTCGTTCCTCTTCATACTTTCTACGATCTGCATCTGTTATAGCTCCTATTGGCGAAGTTAATAAAGGAACTTGTGCCACTGTAACTGATCGATCAAGAGAACCGATAGTTGATTCGCTAATGGAGGGCGATAATGAATCGATTCCAGATGACTGTGGAAGACTGAGAGCCGCTCCTTCAGTAGGATTTATCCACTCTGATTCTGGAACTTTTTCTCCTTTTCTCCATCGATTCAATTCAATTTCAGCTGCCATTAACTGTTGTTTAAGTCGAGCTACTTTTTCCTTTTCCCGTTCGTAACGTCGTTTCCATTCTTCAGCCGTCAGTTCTTCATTAACCACTACTACATTCTTGATCGTCTTTGCCCTGAATATTTCAATATGAATTTAAAATATAAAATAAATAAATAAATACCGATATACCGATACATGAAAGTAAAAAAAAACACTTCATAATGCGAACCGTTGACCAAACATAAGTGTACTTTTTGTTTCCGCCTCATTATACGATGCCGGTGAACAACAAATAACGATAGTCGTACGAGAATTACCACCAAGAGATTCTTGTAATATACGAGTAAGTTTACTATCACGATATGGGACATGACCTTTCTAAAATTATGTAAAAACATGAGAAACCAAAACTGTATCAGAGAAATCAGTCAAAACTTTCTGAATAAAATGAAACAAAACCGAACCGTTCCTTCCGCTAAAGCAGCGATAACGTTTCCTAGCGCCGATAGCGACTTATTGATATTTTTCGCCTCTTCTAATACCTGTCCCTCTGCACCAGTTTTACTAACCTTAATATTGAATTCTTGCATTTATAAAATATAAAATGAAGAATAAAATATTTTATGAATGATAAGAAGATCTGGCAAAAAATTTCAAATTCCTCGGGAAACGGACCTTTTCACTACCTGCGAGATCTACAAGATACAATTTCCCGGTGAGTTTTTTTTGAGTCACGGTATTCTCTTGTTTCACTTGAATAAGAAATACACTATGACTGCGCGAACTATGTTCATTCATGTCTGCAAATGATTTTGATTGGATAACAATCAGTGCATTTGCCAGGATTGAGTGAATTGATGCTTACTCGTTACTGCAACATGTCGATTACTCTTTCCTTCATCAATGCTTGCCATTACTTCTTCGGGACTCGATACGAACCTCTCTGTCGCACCTTTTACGTAAGGAACCCTATTTTTATCCTCATGAATCGCCAGATTCGTTTTAGTAACTGGAAATAGAAATAACAAGCATAACATAATTTCTTCACTAAGAAATTGTTTTATTTTTTTATGAATCTGGAATATACTAAATAACAAATAAAGAAATCTAAAACAAAATTTAAAAATATATATATCTAAAACATAGAAAAATGATAAAATTTAAAAATACATCTTTTTTCTATATATGAATGAATTACTAGTACTCAACTCAACATTAAATTTATCGAAAGAAAACAAATGAAAAGAAAAAATTGATTTCGCAAAACAAAATTATTAATTTCTACTAATGATTCTCATAAACAATGGATATAGATGTAAATTTCTTGCAGGAACAAGATATTTATTTTTTATTTTTCCATGTTGTTTGTCTAAACAATTAAATAAACAATAAACGATAAACAATTTCTTGAAAAACGACCATTATGGGGCAAGGAAAGTGGGAAATAGCAAAAATAGTAAAAAAACTAGCCATCCAATAAATCTCTGATTTTTTCATTGTAAATCTCGAAATAGGAAACTTTGATATGAAATTCCAAATCAACATCCATATTATAAATATGATTAAAAATATCCTGTACAATTCGTGGAATAATTCCTTGTTTTTCAGTATCTCCAAAAATTCCCTGTAATAATTTTGAAGTGCAAAATAGGAAAATATAAATATATTATGAAAAAATTCCAAAAATGGCTGAATCATAGCCAGATAGCCAGGAAAACCCAATAAAAAATTATTCCAATGATCAAACGTTAAAAATTAAAATAACCTCCATCGTATGCGTTTTTCCAGAAGATGTTTGTCCATAAGCAAAAACAGTGCCGTTATATCCTGATAAAACATCCTGAACTATATGGTAAGCAGCGCCCATATAGACTTCTTCTTGAGAAGTACTCGGCTTAAATACTTTGTCAAACACATAAACTTTGCCCTGAAATCTTAAAAAAAAGTGCACATGTACTGATTAATTTAACTATTCACAAAACATGGAACCAAAAAGACCAAAATAATTGGAAATATGAACAAATATTTTTAATTTTTTTAATTAACTATAGTCGGGCTTTTTGTCCGTTCACTTATGCTTTCTTCGCTTAATGACTTCCTAAAAAAATTTCATATTAACAGCCAAAATGGCTAGTGTAACCTGAACTTTTTCTACTCATCTAACTGGTTTAATTTAAACGAGATATTGTTCGATAAAGCCGAAAAAAAAATGAAACATACACCAAGTGATATAATTTCTTCAGAATCCGATGGGAATTTTGGAATAAATTTTGAACCGGATTTCTCCTCCATATTATTCAGAGGACGTACACGGCAAAATACCTAAAAAAAATCTTCGATAAATCTCCCTAATTAATTTCGATCGTACTATGCTTTAAGAAAAATCATTCAGAATTTAATTTCAAAATTTAAATAAAAGTTAAAAGAAATACTTGTATTCCACATTCTGCGGGATTCGGCACTGGATTCGCCATAGTTGCTTCGTTTTTTTTTTTTAAATCGACTATTAAACCGTCCTAATTGTGTTAAAATATTTTTTGAGCCTGAAATAACCCTTTTACTACAAAAAAATGAAATGGCGAAAAATGTAGCACATGAAGGCAATTTCTCAAGGTTATACCAAGTTAAAATTTTTATTGTAAAAATTTTTTGAGAAATTGTATAGTACGAGAAATATTAGAAAAAAAGACTAAACAGCCCAGCGAAGTTTATTTTAATTCAAAAGCACAAAAAAAAGCAAGATATGACAACTTGAATAAATGCAACAAATACAGCAAAATGATAAGACTTAGAAAAGATATGATAGATACAATAGTGCCTGAAGAATGTACAAGTGCGGGACACAGTGGACGCACGGAAATAAACTGAAGATATGCAAAAACAACTGAGTGACTTTATATGGCTTGGATTTCGTCACAACAGTCGTCACAACACTTTTTGACTAACTAAATGGATATTTATAAAATAAGTGGAAAGAGACAACTATACTCTTTCCTACACTTTGTATAAAACATATCAGCGTAGAGAAAGGAAGAAAAAATAGTGTAAAATAAGGAGAAACAACAGAAAATAAGGCAGAAAAGAAAGCATATAAAAGAAAAAGCACGGATGTCTACAGAAAAGAAATGAAGAATATACAAAATGAGAATTCAGAAAAATGTAGAAAGTATGGGAAGCAGCAAAGGGTGGGGAAGAGAAAAACAGTAAAAATTAGAAAACATGATTAAGGCAGAAAATATAAGAATGAATGACGCGACGCATACGACGACACAATCATAAAAAATAGCAAAAATATTTTGAAGGAAAAATAATTTTGGTATCAGTTAATCAACAAGTGCATCTAGAATATTTTCAATATACAACAAGCACACATATACATGCATAAATGAGATATAATACAATAATTAAGCGAATGGTATAATAAGAAGGGATATTAGGAGCGAATCATGATGAGTGAACTGAAATTATTCCTTCACCTCGCATAATTAAAGGCTAAAGAAAAGGTGTTAACTACTAATGAAAATATGTATGGGGCGGAAAGAATCTGCCGAAAGACCAAATATTATGACAAAGTAAAAGTTATAAAACAATTGAAAGATTAAAAAATGGAGTTTTTAGCCGAAAGAACTGTACAATCCATAAAATTTAGAAGAAGGAATAAATTTGCAAAGAAGAAAAAATGGTGAAGGAGGGTGGAAGGGAGAGGAAAAAAGATAAAGAGGGGAAGGTGAAAGAAGGGGGGAAAAAGGTTGAAGCGAGGAAGAGGAAGAAAAAGGAGTGAAACGAGGATGGGAGAGGAGAAAATAGAGAGGAATGAAAGATGAGGTGAGGTGAAACGTGAACGTTAATGGAAGTTCACGTCCAGGCCACACATTCTCTAATTTACTGGTTTAATACTTTAATACTTTTCAATTTTTTTTAAATTTTTTTTGTTCTTTTTCTTAAAAAAGAACAAAGTTCAGCGATAATATTGAAAGGAAAAATGAAAAAAAATCGTTCATAACAGAGGAAGAAAGGAGGAAAGCAATGGGACCACGGAAATCCACGCAAAGCTTTTCCTCCAACCTCACATTTTCTTCACTCAACTATCACCCGAAATGGCTTTGACTGACACTCTTCGAGTCCTAAAACGATTTCCATGGGAAATTCAATATCTAACAGCACCGTATTTTTGTCGCCTTTGAGAGCCTAGTAGTGATATATCAATTTGTCAGCCAGGTGTTTGTAAAACTGATTGGCAGATTATTGCAAATAATATTGTAGTTATGGGGAAGCGGAAGAGTGTGAGTTTACTGTACAATGAATTCTGCAAATGGAGGGAGGATTACGAGGGAAATAGTATAGCGACGGAATATAAATAAGAAATGGAGGAAAAGGATTAGAGAGAAGAAAGGAGAATGCAAATATTCAACCCTAGCGTATAGAATCGAAGTACTATAAGCAAATAGGATTTTTTTTATCACATAAATATTTCATTACATAACGAAATTAATATATGAACTTTTTATTACTAGTGCTTATGCCTTCCGGCATCGTAGAAACATCTATGTGGAATTCCCTCGATAACCAACACTTCAACCAGACCAGATTAATTATATCTTAATCAATCACCGTTGGAAAAGTTCCGCACTAGATAATCGTACTGCGGCGAAACGGACAATTTTCATGGATGTTATGGTTAGAACCAAGATCCGCATAAAATTGAAAGATTGACAACTCGCAGAAAACAGCATCCACAAAGATCCTTAAACTGTCTCTAACTAAAAAATTCGGAGGCAATGAGCGCATTTCAAATTGAATTATTGAGCGCATTTCAAATTGAATTATTTAAGCATTTCAATGATAAAAATATCAATGACTTTTCTGAAACGGCGATTGAACACTGGTCAAAACTAAACGAATGTCTCCGAAAGTCAGCCATTTCCACAATAGGGCATACTAGTATGATGTGTGCTAGTTGGATATTAAAAGCAACTGTCCAATTTTCTGGAAAAGCTGCCAAAGCACGAATGTCAAGTGATCCTGACTACCTTCGAAAATTTACAACGAAAGCATCAAAGCGGGACAGAAAGCGGGATCACTATTGGAGTGACATGGCCTTAAGAATGGAGGCGACGGCTCGATTTAGGCGACAATACGAAACTATTCTGCCTTCTTCATAAAATAACAATGACTCGGGGAACGATCAGTGAAATGGTAAGAGAATAGCAATGGCGTACTAATCAAAAGTATTAGGATCGCCTCATAAGATGGGAAGAATTTTTTGAGGCCAAATTTAGCCATGAAGCGCCATTTGTTACCAATTACCCCTGATATAGGTGATACGTTCGCCGAACCATACGCTTACAATCGCAAGCCTTCAACAGAAAAAAAAAAATCTCGTTCTCCATAAGCTTAAGGCCAATAAGACTCCAAGAGAAGATGGTCTTGGGGCTGAGCTTTTCAAATGCTGTCCATCGTCCTTCATAACGCACCTTCAACAAATGTACTCTTTAGTATGGAAAAAAAAGAAATATTAACAGATGATTGGAGCAAAGCAATTCTGCTCCCAATTCTCAAGAAAGGTGATAGGACATACTGCGACAATTATCGAGGAGTCAGCCTACTAGACTTCTCAGCAAAAATTTTTGCTTCCCTGCTACTCAATAGACTTATGGAAATAAGGGACAGCAGGATGCGCCCTAATCAAGCTGGTTTCAGACCAGAGCGCGGTTGTGCTGAGCAGATATTCACGTTAAGAAGGGTATCTTGGAATATCTTTTCAAATATTTGCAAATTTAGGAGGCTCGAATGTAGAGCCTAAGGCAAATTAATAAATGTGATATAAATGAAGGAACTTAGAGGTCGCAAATATCCACTGTCTCGTGTTTCATCGATTTTGCGGCTGCCTTTGATTCAGTTAATAGAGCGGCGCTTTGGAGGGTGATGGAACGTGACGGTGTTTCAGAGAAAATCATTTGTATATTGTCATTGTGAGCGGTTGTCGATCTTATTTCTGTCAATAATTCATTGGTTCTACTAAATTATATTGTGCTTCCCTAAGAATATAAAAGGAATATATTATTCGCCTTAATATATTAATTATTCTAAAAGGTATTCTTCTTAAAAGTATATTGCTTTTATCGTTTTACATCAAGTACTTATAAGATAAAAGAAATTTTTGTTTGTGTCACTTATTCAAATGGCACCGAAATGCAACTAATAAGGTCGCTTCTGCCAATGTTGTCGTCTTCTTAACTATCGAGGACCTGAGAAGCTAGTTTCCATTACTGAAAAATATGAAAAGCAACAAGATCTAATTTTGCATTTAACCAGATCTATTGAAATACTAACAAAGGTACGAGGAACTCAACGAGGAACTTAAGAATGATATCAATAAACTGAAAGCATCGTCTTTGAATAGCAATTTTAATCCTCCTAATTTCTCAACTGAACTAATATTGCAAACTATTGATGAATATTGTGAAAAAAAAGAAAAAGAACCATATCTAGTTGGCATAAATGTTCCAAAGAAATTTACTGATCAATAGACTGCTACCGCCGATAGACTTTTAGCTGAGAATATTGTAGCTGCCGCTGGGATCAGACTGGCTACATTAAGGAAGTCCGACGACATGGAAGAAAGGGGTCAGGCAGGCCATGAGTATTTAAGATTCGACTTGAAGATAAATACATGGCTATGTCTATATTGCTTAATAAGAACGTGCACTCGATTGTTCTCCATGGTAGTTTTTTGAGGAAAGATCTATCTAACGAAAAGAGAACTATTTCTAGACAAACAGTTGCGTAAAGAATGTTATGTGCGGAATCAGAATCTCAATCTAAAGACATACGTTATCAGAAATCTTCAAATTGTGGAATTAAGGCAGCCGATGGTTTACAACGACAAACAATTTTTCTATTCCAATTTCCTCCTATCAATCTACTACAGCTTAGGACAACTTGCCAAGTAAGGTTAATAAAATAGGAAGTAATTTATCTTTATGCATATTTAATGCAAGAAGCTTAAAATATAAACTTTATGACTTACATCTCCTACTAATTGATAACCCAAATAGTATTTTTTGTATCAATGAAACTTGGTTAGACTCTACTGATAATCGGGAACTAAACTTCGATGGCTTTTTAGTGTCACGCAACGATAGAACAATAAATAGTTTAAATACTCGTGGAGGTGGGCTTATCACGCTTTTTCCTGATTATTATAAATTTGTAACTTTTGTCTATTCCTCTTTTGAATCTCTAATAACTAAAATTTATCGTAATAATAGAAACATTTTCCTTTTAAATATATACCGCCAACCTATTGCAGTATATTCACTAGGGATCTTTACAACCTGTTATTTAGATTAAAAATATTTGGTGCTGATTATATAATTGTTGGCCATCTTAATATGCCAAATATAGTTTGGGAAAATAGTTGCTTGAAAAAGCAAATTTGAAGAGGACTTTCTAAACCTTTGTACCTATATAG